GCGGACTGTTTTTTAAAACCCTGATCTTTGAAGGTAAGCCTTTTGATAAGGAGGTTATTAAAGCTATGGTTATCCTCATCCCTAAGAAGAAGGTTTTGTAATCTTTCGTTGATTTTCGATCTATCAAACCTTTGCTTCATCCTCTATAAGCTAGTCATGAAAAGTATTGCTAATAGATTCAAAGGTCTTTTCCCGAAGATCATTGCGCAAAATTAATCCAGCTTTATTGCTGGCAATAGCATAAATGACAATATCCTAGTTGCTCAAGAGGTCATTCACTCCATGAGAAAGAATAAATGAAGAACTTACTAGATGACGATCAAGGTGGATCTGGAAAAAGCCTATGACCGCTTTGATTGTAAGTTTATTTCTGATTCCCTTGAGGATATGGGTGTCCTCCTCGAATACATCGTGTTATCATGCATGTTATCACCTCCTCTAGCTTTTAGAATATCTGGAATGGTTCGCTCTACTTGGAATTTAAACCTACCAGAGGTATAAACAAGCTTGTTGTAACACCCTAAACCAGTACAACACACAATTGACCGATTAGAATGCCACACGGAACTACCGAAGTGGCTAACCAAAATTTTCTTTTAAATTTTTCTGTTTTTAAAAATGACCATTTGTAACCACTCATGCTAAAATAAATCAACTACAACTTAAATAAAATAGTTTACATTAGGATCTCCTGAATTAATATTTAAATCATACAGACTATAGTTTAAAATGAGTTACGACTCGTACAAAAATATACAATTCAAGGTTTACAATTATACATGTCCTCTAAAGATGAACTTGAGACGTACTCTACACTATATGGGTCTAGATCACTGTTGTCAAAAAGTCCTCGGATTGCTCATCGACTAACCTGCGTAAGGAAAAAAATTACAAACATTGAGCTAACCAGCCTAGTGCCACACTAACAATTAAGTCATACTAAAAGTGTTCATGTCATGCTCAAACTAACTGATAACTGCAATAGTGAGTATACTTTTATACTGCACTCTCTACTCTATGGTAGACATTATGGTACAGTTAAGGGTTCTGCATCTCAGAGCTCACACACCCCTCTAGTCTACCGAGGCTGGTTGCCCGGAATCTCTACATCGATCAACCCATCGACTAGCCCATTCCTTGAGTGTCAGACCTTGCGCACAAACTAATTAGCTTTAAGTGCCTCGTGCACTACCTAAGGATATATTCGGACTGAATCTATACTTTTGATAATGCTAGCATTTTCTAAAGGAACTCGGGTGTCCTGATCTTTTCCCGAACATCATCCAAGGCTATTTTATGTCATCCTAATTGATCTTGTTTCTAAGTGTAATATTAATATTCTCACTTGTAGTCTTATTTGATGATAAAATGAAGTGTTGGGGTACCTTGAGTTTAATTCCCTTAAAAACTGACATTTTTGCCCAAAACGGACTGAAAATATCGATACTAGCCCAATAGTATTGATACTCCTACAAAAGTTTTGATACTTTATATAAGTACCGATACTTTTAAACATTTTGTTCTGCCCAGTTTTGAAACTTTATGAGAGTTTCGAAACTATTATCCAAAGTTTCGATACTCTTGAAAGAGTATCAATACTTTTGCCCAAAAACTCACAAATTTTCCCAAAACGAAGAACAAATATTGATATTATTACTATAGTATCAATACTCTACCTACATAAGTCATAAAACACATAAAAAATGCTATATTTAAATCCCAAAGACTCTAGTGAGGTCCCCAAACATGCTTTAAAGTTTTATTTGATCAACAAGTGTCATAATAAAGACTTTAAACACATTTATAAATGAAAAACAAGAATTTCACCATGAAAATGCTTATCATGCTTAACACAGATATTTAAACTATCTTGAATTTCTAATGACTCGCTAAGAGATAGAAGAGTTGTAAAAGTGTTACCTTGCTTTTTGGATGGCTAAAAACTTTCTCAACTCACTCAAGATTCAACTTTTCTTTTCCTTTAGCTCTTGAGCTTTCTCCTATCTTCTTCACTAAACAAAATGAGAAAATTGATTACCAATCCATCTAGGGGTTGAATAACATCTAAACAAGCTCCCTATAACTCAAAACTTAGCTAGAATCTATAAATTCCCACAAATCTATCAAGACCCATTTTTGGTTCTATGCATGAAAAATAATGAAAGAGAGCTCAAATTGAAGCTAGAAGGTTGAGGTTTAATAATCTTACCTTGGATTGATCCAAGTGGGCTTGAATTCCTTTGAGATTCTTACTTATAGAAGATAGAAGAAGAGAGAAAGATGAGAAGATATGAAGAGTGTTTGGTAAGTTGTGTAAGGGGGTTGGTTCACGTTGAAAACATAAAATAAAAAGGGATTTTCAGCTTTCAAAATGACTATGGGTAAACTACTCTTTTAGTCCATTTTACTTTTATTTTCATGATTTACTCATCCCTAAACAATTATTATCTTGGGCCCTAACTCAAGCCCACAAACAAAAAACTTGGTCCTACTATACTATAAGGTTCAATTCTTAACTTTGGGCTTCTGGTTGACCCAAACTACTAACTTGGGATTAGGGGCGTTACAATTGTCCGTTGTCTCCTTATCTTTTCGTCATTTGCATGGAATAGTTGGGTCAAAGTATTCGGTATGCTTAGAATATAGACTTATGGGAGTCTATGATTCTTTCTAGGAGAGGTCCCAAGTTATCCCATTTGTACATCGTGGATGATCTCCTTTTATTCTGTAAGGTGGCCAGTAGGCAAGCAATCCTCACTAGGGTTGTTCTTGATCAATTTAGCAGATTTCAAGACATAAAGTCAATTCTAACAAGACAAAAGTTTTCTTTTCTAATAATTTTCTTAAGAGCCTAACCAATGATCTCTCCTTTAAACTGGGCTTTCAACGCTCTTTCAACCTTGGTACCTACTTGGGTAAGCCTCTCTTTCACAACTGGATCACTAAAAACATGTTCCAATTTATTGTTGACAAGGTCATATCTAAATTGAGTAATTGGGTGGCTTTAAAATTATCTCTGGCTGGTTGTATCACACTTTCCAAATCCACGTTGTTGGCAATCCCCAACTACATCATGCAGAAATTGGCTATTCCCAAGGGTGTGTGTGATGAAATTGAGAAAATTACCCGTCGTTTCATATGGGTTGGTACCGATGATCATTCTAAGATGGCTCTTGTTAGTTGGGTTTCGTGTTGCCAACCAATATCTTGTGGGGTCTGGGATTGCAATCCCTTCGAACCCAAAATGAAGTTTTTCTTGTTAAACTTGGTTATAATCTCCTTACTAATCCTGAAGCTCTGTAGGTTAAATTGTGCTAAGTACAAGGTTAGTGATTATCTTGCCACATATTTTAATACTAGCAACTGCTCATTTGTTTGGAGGTCCCTATCCAAGGTCTGGTCAATCATTCGGGACAATGTTTGTTGATCTCTCGGCAACATTAAAATACCAAGTTTTGGGTAAATACTTGGATTGTGGGGAAGCAATCGATCATGAAAAGGGTTAACGGAGACCTTAGGAGCATTCCTGATACTACGATTAACGAGTTTACTAATGGGGAGGGTAATTGGGATTTGGATAAACTGAATAATGTTTTGGATGAGGTTATTATAAAAGATATTTCTACGGTTTCCCCCAACCAATGACAAGGAAGTCGATCATCTCACCTGGCTGTGGGAATCGTCGGGTAAGTGCACAGTCAAAAATGCTTATTATATTCTCCACCGTGAAGCCTGGACCAACATAACACCGTGTGGAATTTGGCTTGGAGCTTTGAAGGACCTCAAAGTGTTAGAAACTTCATATGGATCATCTTAAGGAATCAACCCTTAACTAATTTAGAGAGAACTAGAAGAGGTCTTTCCTCCGATCCCATCTGTCTGGTTTGCGATGGCAGAGAAGAAAATTGCCATTCACACGCTTAGAGATTGTCCATCTACGAAAAGCCTTTGGCTGTAAATTGTTCTAACCCATTTTAAAGGGAGTTTCTTCACCCTCCATATGTTGGATCGGTTGATCTTTAATTTTAAAAACATTGTAATTACTAACAATAGAAATTGCAAGTGGGCTCATGTGTTTTACATCATGTTGTGGCGAATATGGAAATAAAGATGTAATCTAGTATTCAATGGCGTGAGCTGGTCTTCAGCAGAAATTATGCATAATGCATATGTTTGGGCCAGACTTATTCATACTAGATTGAAAATCACAGTGCATAATAGCAGTTGCATGTCTAGGGCCAAAGCCTGGTCACCGCCTATAATCAGATCCTTTAAACTAAACACGGATAACTCGGTTAAATCGTAATCCATGAAAATTACGAGTGGTGATATTCTTCGCAACCATAATGGAGACTGGATAACGGGGTACAACAGGAATATCGACTGTTGCTCTATCCTGAATGTTGAACTTTAGGGGTTGATGGACGGTCTCCGTGTAGCTTGGGAACACAAAGCTAGATGTATCATTGTAGAAATAGACAACGCTAAGGCAGTTAAGTTAGTCACCTCCAAAAACCCGAGCAATAGTTCAACCCTCATATGAAGAATCCAGGATATGATCGATCACAGTTGGACAGTCAAGTTTAACAATCTCCCGACAAACGAATGGCTCTACAAATACCCTCGCACGTTATGGCTATAAGTTGCAAACATGTTTTTCAACTTGGCAAGAACCTCCTTAGTTCATGGAAGCTTTCCTCTAAGTGGACAAGCAAGTTTGGAGGGATGACACCATTAGTTTCTTATATTTTCTTTGTAAAAAAAAAAAACTTATGGTATCATGAAGACGGAGACTAAAATATGCCAAATTTAAGCAATTTGGGACCCAAAGCGAATTTGACCATTTTTCATATTTTATGAGAATTTAAAATATGAAACGCATATAGAAATATCTATAAATAAATACATCACTCCTCTTTAAAGCGTCCCCTGAAACAAACCAACTTGCAAAATAAAAATCCAAGTATTAAAAAATAGATTTTAATTTCAATTTGCATCTTCGAATTAATTAGAAAAAACAGAATATAAGCCAAAAAAAGTCCGAAAAAGAGAGAGATAAATACAGTTAACTGCTCCAGGAATGGCAGACGCCTTTTGTTCGGACTGCAAGCGGAATACAGAGGTTGTTTTCGATCATTCGGCCGGTGATACGGTGTGTTCGGAGTGCGGGTTGATGTTAGAATCGCATTCGATCGACGAGACATCAGAGTGGAGAACCTTCACCAATGAGTCCGGCGATAACGATCCCAACCGTGTTGGCGGTCCCTCTAATCCGCTTTTGGCTGATGGCGGTTTATCCACCGTTATCGCTAAGCCCAACGACGCTTCTGGAGAGTTCCTTTCGTCATCGTTGGGCCGCTGGCAGAATCGTGGGTCGAATCCAGATCGGGGGTTGATTCTCGCTTTTAATACAATTGCTACCATGTCTGATAGGTAATTAAATTAGTCTTTTATTTTATTTTATTTTATTTTTGTTTTTGGTTGGTATTACTGAGTTTATTTGGATGGTCACAATTTTTTAGGAAAATAATGAAGGAAATTGATGTTAGTATTACTGATCTTTTGTGAAATTAGTAGAGTTCTATTTGATTTTAGTTTGGGCCTTGCAGCGTTCATTGTTTCTGGAAATTTATTAATGGAAATGCTTCATATTTTTAGGAATTTTGACATGTTTTCTGATTTGGGTTGCCATTTGAGAAAAGGGATGGTTCAATTACTGGTGAAAACAATTTATGAGGCAATTATTGTCAGCTTGTATTCTTGTTTATACGGGAACGAGAGCAAGTTTTGTACAGAGTTTGAGGGCTGATTCTGGGAAATTTAGTATCTACTTGAAAAGTGTTATGATTTTCAATTTTTATTTTCTTAGGTAGAATCAAACTGGTATTGGATATTAAGATTTCACTTCTTAGAAGCATTGATGTTTTAATCTATGTGATCGTGATTACTTCGTGAATAGTCTTTAATGAACGCTTTGATGAAGATTTGCGTATTTATTCACTTTCCGGATACTATTTTGTTTTGTAAAGATTTGCGTATTTATTCACTTTCCCCTTTCCCTCTTTGATGAAGGAAAATTCTATGCTTGAGATAGTAATTTATCATGAAATGTCACTTATTTGTATAATTTTATATTTCAGGCTGGGTCTTGTGGCTACCATCAAGGTATGCTACCTCTTTCACTGTAGATATAATTTCAACCATTTGGTGTTTTGGTGTATTACTATAGACTCTAGTGATATGCAAGTATGGCATATAATTGAATACTCTATTATTTTAGTATTAATGTGTATGTATATTATTGATATAATCTGGCATTGCTTTACCCAATAAAGGGTTGATGTGCTAAACTATATCATGTCAGCGGCAATACTAAATCGAAACGAAGTTAAAATCATAGCATGGCAGACTTAATCAGAACTTGTTTGGAACAGTGTGCCTTTAGTGTTAATATTGAAAACTTTGTGAAATGTGCCAACTAGAAATAAAGAATAAATATGTAACTCAAATCTTCAGTCTTGTGCACGACTTGAAAGCCTCAAATACATACAAACATTACCATAATTGTTGTTGCTCCCTTTCCCGTGCATGAGCAGAAAGGAGTTAAAAAATTTAAAACCCAATCACGTGCATGTGTTGGAAGCATGAAATACTTATAAACGTTAACATAGCTGCCACAGCTCTTTTCAGAGTCCCAATCTATGCATGAATAAGAAATTATAAATTTAAACCTCCAATCCTGTGTGTTCACCAATAGAAAGAAGCTTCTCCTGCTCCTGGTCACTTTCTGTTGAAGAAAAAGAATAAGGTTAGGGTTGATGTCTGGGCAAGACACCGTATTGGTTACTACGCAAAATTGTTGGCAATTGCGTGTGATTGAATAGGCTTTGAAGATGTAAGTAGATCTGTATCATTATTAATAACTAAGGGAAAAGTTAATAGAAATTACACATTATTGATTTATATATTTATTATTTTACTAATCATTTGACTATCTTTAACCTGTAACGATGTTGCGTTTCAGTTTTATAGGAACTGTTTATCCTTAAACTGTATCAGCTAGCAATAGGACTTAAAGAAGTAGGTAAACCTTAGGAATTTACCGTGGCATAGAAGGCCTGAATATAATGCCCTAAAAATTCTGAAATATTTTGAGTAAAAAGTAGGATGGGAGGGACATTATGGTGCCTAGATTTTTGCCTTTCCATTTATAAGTGGTTGAGCAATAAGCATTTAACGATAAGAAAATGAATGAACATCAAATTCTGTGTTCTAGTTTTCCTTTTTTATTTTTACATTATTTGTTGTATTAAAGCTTTTAAAAAGAGGGAATGATATGTTAAAGATGGTCAGGAATAATTCTTAGCAGTGGTTAATTGGAAATTCACTTATTTCCCCAAAAAAAATCTTTTCTTTTCAAAGGAGCCTCTTTGGGTTAATTTCATCAGGCAAGGATATTGAATTATTTTTGAAAAATGAGTGAGAAAGGTAGAGAGAGAGTGAGTTGCATTTGTGGATAATCTTAGTAGGCAAGTGCAAAGAAGTGCATTATGAGATCGTTTTAGTCATTATGGCAAGGTTATTAAGGTGTTCATTCCATTTGTTAATAGGAAACCTTATTACAAGGAAAGTACTTTTGCTTTTGTGCATTTTGCAATTGGAAAGATGAATAATGTCTCGCTCGATGGGAGGAAAATATCAGTGTCGATTGCTAAGTATCAGAAGAGAAGTACTTCAACGAGCCTCAAGCGTACTAGTATGGCGAGATCTACAGTTGCTGGTGGAGATGAGATGCTCAGGAAATTACCATCATCTTTAGTTGCAGGTACTGGAAAGAAGGAGATGATGAATAAGTTTTACAATGAAAGGTTATATAAGGATACAGTTGTGGGAGTAAAAGAAGTTGAGAGCCAGAAAGTGGGGAGTTTTGGAGCTAAGATGTAGGTGAAGAAGCCGTTGGAAGTATTTATTCCAATGAAGGATAGGTCATGGCTTAAAAAAAACGTCTCTAACTGGTATTTGTAAGCCATTATTTGAAATTGAGTTTGTGCAGAGGGCGTTAGGATATGAGGGAATCAATGTCAAAGTGGTTAAATGGGATTATGCAAAGAATGCCTGTCTGGTAGTTTTCCAGACTGCTGAGGAGAAAGTTGCAACGATGGTAAACAAGTGGGAGAATTTGTCCTTTTGGTTTGAAAGGTTAGAGGACGTTATGGATGAAGAGGGTGTGGCATTACCTTATTGTGCAGTTTCTATGATTGGTGTTCCTCTAAACTGTTGGTCAGTTCATTTCTTCACAAGCTTGGCGTTAAGATGGGGCAAACTAGTTAAGATACAGGAACAAACTGCTAAAAGAGTGGATTGTAGAGTTGCTCATATGCTATTGAGAGTTGAAAGTCCTTTTGATATTCCTCCATATGTCACTATTAATACGTATGGGAGATCGTTCATGATTAAGATTAAGGTGGAAGGAAGTGAAGATTTTTTTTCGGAGTTAGATGATGTGGTTGAAGATGATGAAACAGTAAATAATGAGGAGTATAATATGCCGGAAGAGAGTAATGGGGAAGACATCGAAGTGCAGGAAGGGAGGGTGGGTAAACAGGCGTTGTCAGATATTCAAAATAGTGTTCAAGCATGGGTCTTGGACTCCTCACAAGGGGAGCGCACAATTTTTTATGGGTGGTTGGAAGGAAAAGGGTTTTTCAAAATTTAGTGGCAGTTGACTTATGTGCAGAGAAGACAATTCTGGGTGATGTCCAAGGACAACAGAGAAGGTTGGGGGCTGGTACAGAAGAGAGAGAATGGGTGGTTAACAGGGGTGAGGTCTCCTTGGGGCATGATAATGTTGACCATGTTAATGGGCTTAATGGTACTATGGGTAGGGAAGAAGATAATGGGCCCGTTCAGGGAAGTCCAAATTCAAATAGGGGTGGTTACAAGCCTGTTGAGTTAGTTAGTAATAGGGGGAATGTGGAGATCCTCAGCAGACTATTTTGGAGGGTTCAGAGATGGATTTTACAGCAGTTCAGTTTGGATCTAATGGGGTACAAGTTAGTAAAGTTCCTACAAGGAGGTATTCTTCTTCCCCTCCAACAAATCGTGTTCGGTCTCATAGTGCTGCTACCATCTTCTGTGACAGAGTTTATAGCAGATCTAATAAGAAGAATAAGAGAGGTGAATCGGAGAAGGGTTTCTCAGCAGTTAAATTTTCAATGGATAAAGATGAAATGGAATTAACTTGGCAGGTTAGTCAAATATTAGGTGTTAACTTTAAGGGGGAAAGAAGGATTTTGCTGAGAAGTTTTTGGAGTCCGATTCGGCTAGAAGGGAGAGGGGTAGGTATTAACCCTTAGTTGGTTGAAGGTTTTTATCTATTTTTTATGGGTCGAGTATCTTGTGTCACTTGGAATATTAGGGGTTTAGGTAGAAAGGAAAAGGCTAGGGCAGTGAGGAAGATAGTTGTAGATAAGAAACTGTCGTTTCTTTTTTTGCAAGAAACGAAATTGGAGGTGGTTAATATAGGTATGAGGAGGAAGTTGGGGGGTAAATATCTAGGTGGGCTAGTGGAGTCTCCGGCAGTGGGAGCATCTGGGGGATTGGCTACTCTTTGGGATGAGGACTGGTTTTTACCTCAGTTGGTGAAGATTTCTCCAAGGTTTACAGTGTTGAAGGGTATAATAAAGGACAAACAAGATGTGTTTTGTTTTATTAATGTCTACGGACCTTCTGTTAAAGTTGATAAAGAGGCTTTTTGTGAGGAGTTAACTTGTTTTATTTCTACATTGGGATGCCCAGTATGTGTTGCTGGAGATTTTAATGCTCATTTATCACATGAAGAGAAGTTGGGGAAATCTCTGAATGAAAATTCAATTGCGTGGTTCAGGGAATTTATGTTTCAAGCAAGTCTGATGGATCTGCCTTTGGTGGGAGGGAGTTTCACTTGGGGTAATAATAGGGAAGACCCTAAGTTCGTGAGGCTGAATATGTTTCTTGTTTCGGATGAATTTTTAGGATTATTCTCGGATGTTGTTCAGTTGTTATTATCTAAATCAATTTCAGACCATAATATTGTGGCTTTGGAATCCAGTAAGCTGAATTGGGGTCCAAAACCCTTTAGACTGTTTAATTATATCATGGAGGATGAGGGATTCAAGGAAGCAATGGAAAAGAAAATTTCTGAAGTTAAGAGTAGGAAGGGGCTGAGCATTGAGCAGGTACTTAGAGAAACAAAGATGGAAATCAGGAATTGGTTTAATGAAAGCAGAATGCAACTACAAAGCTTGATAGACAACAAAGAGAGGCTAATCTCGAATCAAGAAATTCAACTACAACAAAGGAATTCATTCATTTCTATGGCGAAAATTGCAAAAGAAAAAAGTGAATTATGGTCATTGTATAAAAAAGAAGAATTAGTTTGGTTCCAAAAATCAAGGGTGCAGTGGATTATGGATGGAGATCGGAATTCAAGATATTTTCATCAATGTGCTACAAATAGAGGGATGATTAATGCTCTTAATTCTTTGGATGTGAGTGGTAATTTGATTGAGGAGCTGAGGAAGATAAAAACTGTTGTTTTTTATTATTTCAAGAACGCTTACAATGCCATTCCGACGGTTGAAGTTGAGAAGCTGGAATTGAATTTCAATAGGCTCTCGGACGATCAAGTTGAAAATTTGGAGGAGAATTTTTCGGAGGGGGAAGTTTGGGAGGCAATAGAGTCTTCGGATAGTAACAAAGCTCCGGGTCCGGATGGATTGAATATGAGATTTTTCAAGAAATTTTGGCCGGTGTTGAAATGAGATACCCATAAGTTTTTCGAGGATTTTTACGATGGAAAGAAGTTAGGGAAATGTGTCAATCATTCTTCCATTACTTTAATTCCGAAAAAGCAGAATCCGGTTGGTATTGAGGATTATAGACCAATCAGTTTGGTAGGGGGCCTTTACAAAATACTATCTAAAGTTTTGTCTAGAAGGTTAAGGTTGTGCATAGGAGGGCTAATTGGTCAATCTCAATTTACTTTCATCCCGGGAAGATAAATTTGTGACTGTTCCTTAATTGCTAATGAAGCCATTGATTTCCGGGTTCCATCCGTGTTTACTTTGTACCACTCTTCCGATGGTGGTTGTCATACTTGTGGACCTGTGTTTATAGCTACTGGCGCTAGTTCTGATTGCTTTTCTTTTTCTATTGCACGACTACTCATGGATACATATTTTGAGATAAAATTTGAACACTTATTTTTGTATTAATTCATTACTTTACCATTTTGTTAATGATTAAATCGATCTACCATTATTTTCGATAAAAGAATACTAATTAATTTATTTGTTAACCAAAGAATTCAACTGAGTGCTAAAGTGGGTGTATATTTTTCGTAAAAGGTTGAATTAATTTTTAAAGGCCTTTTTAGACCTTAAAAAAACTAGTGTAAATTTTGTCAACACGTGGCATAAATATATGGTAAAGTCTAAGTCATTGCCTGCAGTCTTCACTGTAAAAATTCCAAAGGAGGCAGGTACTAAAGTTTCGTACATTGCAAAATGGACGTCTTTTCCAACCATTTACCATTTTACCCACACCTTTATTGATGAGAGACGGACGCATTACTTGGTTGAATCATATACCATCTTTGCAAATAGTCAAATAGACAATATATTAGATAATATAAATTTTTATATACAATAAGGTTCAACTCGAGGTACAATCAAATCAAATTTGAAATTATTTCTAATTTAAGTTTATTCAAGTCTTAATTTTTAATTTTTATTTCAATTTAAATTCAATTTGTTAATTTTGAGTTTACAAACTTTAAAATCAAGTAGAATTGAACTTCAAAGTTTTTGATTTAAATCCAATTCAACAATACTAAATAATTCTAATTGAATCAAATTCAATAATACTCAAACTTAATTCATCTTAGGGGCTGCTTGTTTACTTTAGAATGATTAAGCGTTGAATAATTCAAATGTTGAATGATTCAGAGGTTCTGTATGAATTAGCTCTGAATGTGACATGATGTTTGATAATGACTCTGAATCATTCAGAATATACTTCTTTGTTGAATCATTCAACACTGTTTTGCTGAATCAGTCATGACTGAGTCATTTAGAGGTGCGAAACAAACGCACTAAATACTGAACGATTCAATATTCAGCATTAAATGATTTTATTAAAAAATAAACAAACAGCCCCTTATTTACATTCTTGCCGTCCAAAGTAAGAGGCTACACAAATAATAGAGTAGGAACGGTAGTAGCGGGACATTATTCACAATAAAGCGTGAGGACCCAACGAAATAGAGGCGTTTCATTACCGTAAGATGTGCTTTTAAAAAATTTGACGGGTCAACGGCACACGTGCAGCTAGGGATGGCAATGGGTCGCCCGACCCGAGAAGAAAGGGTTTTTCACCCGTGACCCGACCCGACCCGACGAAATTAAGGTTTCACCCGACCCGACCCGACCCGAATATATGACTTAGAAACCCGACCCGACCCGAATAATAATAAAAAAATTTTATTCAATGAAAACAGTGACTTAATTGAAAAAAATTATATATGGAGGGACATTATTGTAATTATCCCTAAATATATAGGATAAAATTATATATATTTTTCGGATCGGGTCAGGTCGGATTTTTTCACCCTAAACCCGACCCGACCCGACCCGAACAATATATTTAAAAAAAATCCGACCCGACCCGAACCCGAATTTTTTTTTAAAAAATCCGACCCGATCGGGTCGGGTCGAAACCCGTCGGATTCGGGTTGAATTGTCATCCCTACGTGCAGCCAACTATGCCAAATAGGGCTAAGAGAAGACAAACGGGCAATCTTTTGGGTGGGCCCACAACTTCCTACGCGTCCTACGTGTGATCTGACACAAGTGGCCTTTCCTTGCCACCTGTATTTATGATTCCATTTTCACCCTCGAAATATTCCTAGATTTCCACAATAATCCTTTTTTTAATTATATATTAATGTGTCGCACGGTAGAAATTCTCATCCCAAGGCATCATCGTCAAAAGATACGTTCGTCGCTTTCAGTCTCAGTATTTTCTCCTTCATTAACACGTGCATACGCACACAAAACACCTTGCTCACTAAGCTCACCCACTAACTCTCTCTTTCTATGCTTTGTTTCGAGATCTCGAAATTATAGAAAATGTTGGATTTTTCTTTGTAGGGCTTAATCAGGGGGAAGCTAAATTGTTTCTTCGTTTCCTCATTGAGATTTGTTCTTTAAGGTACTGTTTGGCATTCGAGAAAAAAGAGAGGGTAAAAAGCTACATTTCTGTTTTTTTGGCCTTTTTTCTCGATTTTTTTGTTTGGGACTCTTACCTTGTTTTATATATTATTTAGTTTCCTAGTTTTGTTTCAGCCTTGAGTTTCTTTTATAAATATTTTGTTAGTTTGATGAAAATTGGGGGAGTGGGTTGGTGGGGTGGTAAGAAGTTATTTTTTGTTTTAGTTTTGATGTTTCTTAGTCATTACCTAAACTCTTTGATTGAAAACAGTTTAAGTGAAAGTGATTGAATATAAACTAGTTAAGGGAATCAAAACTGAGCTTTCTTTTTCTTGGTTTGAAAGAGTTAATTTTAGTTAATAATTTCTTGTTGTTTATTATATAATTAATTATATGTTAATGTATATGCGGATAATTTTGCTTATGCTAACGTTCTTTATAGTACCTTGTTAATCATGTTTACTTTGCTATGATTTTATTTTATTTTTCCTTTCTTCATGTTGGATTATCTTGATTGTTACCAGGAAATGGATATTGGATTTATTGGTGCGAATTTAAGGACCTCGTTAGAGGCTCCTAGACCGCTTTAACTGCTTTCCAATTAGCGATAGGAGCAACTAATGACCCTTCAATTTTTATTGTGTAGTGAATCGTAATTGTGCTTTCTTTTGTTTTTGCAAGAACCCTAATGTTGTATTGTTTGCATTTCAGGATATACCATTGATGGCGTGTGACCTCTGGGGCCCATCATTCCCTGGAGGTGCTTTCTTATTTCTTGAATTAGCGGTTACATGCATGCATTCCTATTTGATCATTGTCTTTTTAGTGTGATTTGACTGTACATTGGTGATCTGCAGAAGAAAGCAGCTATTGCATACAACCAGAATGGCAGTATGACTTTTACTTCGGTTATGGCATCGGTATAATGATGGTCCTATTTTTGTTGTACTTTTGATTGGTATCGGGTTTCTTTGCTTTTGTTGTTACCATGGTTATGCAATGTGTTGGTTTTTTGCAGATATGATTGAAGAAAATGCATTGAACGAGAAATCTTGTGTTCAAGTGCTGAGGATATTGATGAACTTGAAAAAGATTTGGTGTTGCTTCAAAGTGAACTGGTCTGGGATGAACATGAAGATTGGCATGACTTTTGCTGCAATGCCTTGAGATCAAAGATCAACTGCCTTGATATTTCAATAAAGAAATTGAGGAGCAAGGATGAAAATGACATTGAGGTTTACTTATTGATGCATACGGAACCTGCTGAGAAGTTGCATGAAATAGTGAAGGCCCTGCTCCAAAGCTTCTGTCATTAGGAAAATGAGCAGGTTTGACTCTTGGATATTTTTCATGTTCTTATTCTAACGTGCCATGAACATGATTCAACTCTGAAATTTGAAGGGACGGCACCAGAAGAGTGTGTCCTCATGTTGATTTTACCAATTTTCTCCCTTAACTCTGCAATTTCAACCAAATTTGTGTAGTATATATGTTTCGTGCTTCTGCAATTTAAGCTATTTTCACCTAATGCTTCAGTCTATTGTTGGTGCCTGTGTTGGTTCATGTTTGTTCTAAATGTAGGTTTAGTACCGTCTAGATGCCACAGAGTTGTAATCATGTTGGATTTTTCTACTACCCTTAATCATTTTGGATGGAAAGAGAATTAATAACCTTTAACAGACTTGAGTGAATTTATTTGGTGGAATGCTTTTGCATGCCATGGAACTTGATAAGCTCAGTCAACTCCTTGTTGTCAGCAGATTGGTTTTCTTTGGAGGTCCTGTAGTTTCCCATCATTTACTTATTAGTTTCCCTTCTAATATTTGCATATTTTATGGATTATTTCATGAACTAAGAAAGAGTTTTCCTTTCAAGAATGAGCAATCTCAGGATTTTGTCTTGCATTCAAGGTCTGGTTCTCCAGACAAGTCAGTTGTCTTGCGTAAGGACCAAAAATCAATCTCTTCATATCCATGTTCCATTGCGAAGCAGGGAAAGAATGGACTTAATGTTACTGCCAAAGAAAATTTTACTCCATTAAATCCATCTACGGAGCTTGAAGTGAAGAAAGCAAATAATTCAGAAACAGGTAAGTTAGTAAGTTACATGAAGCTTTATCCTTGCATGCTTTAATGTCCATGGTCAAGGATCCATTTACTCTCCACATAAATACAAAGAGAACTCTGACTTTTGGGCTGTCATTGAAGATGAAATAATTAAATACCATTGCAGTACAGTTACTAAGGACTGTATTAATGGTAATTGTTATATTAATATGACAACTTGCCATGTCTCCTTACTTTGCATCGGGCTTTGTGCCTCTTTGAATGTTTTTCATCTGTATCTGTCTCTCTTTTTCTAACATGGTGGCGGATGCTGGATCTTTCATAGCCCCAATGTTGATTTATTTGTTTGAATTCTTCATGCAAGCTCTTTAAGAGATTTAGTGCTCAACTGCTCGTTATTTGATATTTTCAAGCTATCATTAGTATGTAACAACATTTTTCTGGATTTAAACAAGATTTCTGTGGGTGATATAGTTCACCTTCGAACACTTGTTGCTTTTGTTATGTTGAATATTTTGCATGGACCTGCATGTTTGATTCAAGTTACCCACACTTCTGGAGATCCGTAGAAATTTCATGCTTATAGTTGTGGCTAAAATGGTATAAATGTATCCAACATTATCATACTTGGGAACTCTGAATCGCGGAACAACTTGGTGTCTTTCCTTCGGTGCTATTGCTTAGGTTTTGTGAGGATATTGATTGAGAATGTCTTTAAGGGGACAAAATTCGGAGGTTGACACCACTGCATATACTTGTTGTACTAATCATAAGTGGTATAAATATTTTAGTTGAGAAAATCTTCAAATATGGGATTGAGAAATCTGAAGAGAAATGATATAGTGCCTATTTATGGTAAAGGAGAGAATATAAAACTGAAAAAGATGAGTGAAAAAAAATTAGCTTTAATTTCATTGCAGATGCACATGGTGATATTTCCCATAAGTTATGTTTGACAATCTTAATTTCCTTTTGTGTACTAGCTGTACTTTTTAAAATACAGCCTGCTTTACTTCCTCCTCTTCCTGCCCTAATTTATATTCCGTTAGCAGCTAGCCAATGCTGAGGTCAAGGATATGATGCTGAACTCCCTGTTGCCAGCAGCTGGTCAATTTGATGAGAAGAGCATTGGAACCATGCTTGATTTAGAAACTATCAAGGAACACAAAGAAATTGATCATACTATTAAGGACAAAAATGCAATCCAGTATTTTTCTCCCCAGTCTGCTCGGAAGAGAACGAATGGCTTAAACAGGACTAAGGTTAAGGTATTTCACTCGCTCTCTTTTTGGTCAAGCAATCAAATTCAATATCATTTAGCAAGGTCTGATTAATAAAGGAAAAACATTGTCGAAAAAGGTTTGATTAACTGTGGTTTAAATGCTCTCCTGCAATTGCTAGTAGTCTTTTAAATGTATCTGACTTAATAACTGAAGTGAAAATTTTTGATGCATTTGAACCTTCAAAAGTAAAAAAGGGCAGTTTATTTACCTACATGTAGCTTCTTTCTTTCTTTTTTTTAAATTTTTTGCACAACTTATATATGTAGATAACAATTAGGCTGTTTGAGCTTGTCTACACTAAAAGTGTAGCACCCCGACTCCTGGGTTAGTAGTTCGGGTCAACCCTAGACCCAAAGTTGAGCCCAAAAGGACCTTATAAAATAGCTAAACCAGTTTTATGTTAGTGGGCTCGTGTTGGGCAAAAAAAATTGGGTGATAGGTGATTAGTGTTTTATGTAAGAGAAAGTAGAGGGGTTGATAGTGCAATTTTTCCCTTATTGTTTTAAAGCTGAAAACCCTCCCCTTTTTATATCATGTTTACGTGAACCACTCCACCATCTTCTCACCAAACACACTCCTCTCTTCTTCTTCATCATTTTCTCTTTTCTTCTTCCTTTCTTAAGTGAAAAATTTTAAGGATTCAAGCTTAGTTTGTTGTAGCCAAGGTAAGAATGTTTCTCTCCATCCTTCAAGCTTTGTTTCAAGATCCATTTTGTGAGTTTTAGAATTTGTTTTCAAAATTGGTTTTTCTTGAAGATAGGTTGAATCCTAGTTGATTCAAGAGATGTTTTAGCAGCCAAGGCAATAAGGTAACACACTTATAGCTTTCTCATACCAAGTGTAGATCATGGAAAGTTAAGATGTGTTAGATAGTTTAAGATTAAAGCATGTTTAGTAATTTCCATGGTATATTGTTCATTTGATGTTATAAGCATGTTAATAGGCCTCTATTATGACCCTTGTTGATCAAATAAAAACTTTAAGCATGTTTGAGGACCTCACTAAGGTCTTTGGGATTGAGAAATAGAGTTTTTAGTACTTGTTTTATGACTTCTTCAGGTAGAATATCGGTACTATAGGGATAGTATCGATACTTATTCTTCGTTTTGGGTAGATTCGTGAGTTTCTGGGCAAGAGTATCGATACTCTTTCAAGAGTATCAAAACTTTGGGTCATAGTTTCGAAACTCCAGAAAGTTTCGAAACTGGGCGAACTGAATGTTTAAAAGTATCGGTACTTATATAAAGTATCAAAACTTTTGCAGGAGTATCAATAGTCTTGGGCTAGTATCGACACTTTCAATCTGTTTTGGGAAAAAAAACAGTTTTTAAGGGAGTTAGACTCGAGGTACCTCAACACTTCTTTTTATCATCAAATAAGACTACAAATGAGAACGATAAGAAAAGTTTAATTCAAACGTAGAACCAAGAATAGTGTAAGATCAAATAATACTAGCCTTGTTTGAATACTCGGTAAAACGCCCAGGACACCCGAGTTCCTTTAGAAAAGATATCAGAGTCGAAAGTATAGATTCAGTCCGAATATATCCTTAGGGAGTGCGCAAGGCACTTTAAGCTGACTAGTTTGGGCGCAAGGTCCAATACTCAAGGAGTGGGCTAGTCAAGAGTGTGGTGTCCGATGCAGAGATTTCGGGGGCTACATTCTCGGTAAACTAGAGGGGTGTGTACCTCAGCCGCACCATGATGTCTACCATAGAGTAGAAAGTGAGTATACAAATATACTCACTAAAGCAGTACAGAACAGATCAGTAGACTAGATAGAAAAGCAGTAGACTTGAATGTTTAAGCCTTTCAGTGAATTGCGATTAGTATGTTTTAGCTGTTAGTGTGGCGCTGAGATAACCTTCGGATGTTTCCGTGGGCAGGTTAGTAGATCAAGCAGTTGGGAAGCAGTAGATAGACCAAGGTCCAGACCAGTCTAGTGCAGATCATATGTACGTCTCAGCGTTTTTATTGGGCATGTATATTTGTAAACATTGTTGTCCAATTGAGTCATAGATTCAGTCAAGTTGGTCTGTAATATTTTTTGAATTGTAAATATTTTATTTTGGAGCTCCTCAGTAAAATGATTTTTATTGTAATTCAGTTTATTTTATGGTTGGTTATAATGGTCATTTTAAAGCATGAGAAAGTTAAGTTTAAAGTTGGTTAGCCACTTCGGTGGTTTCGTGTAGCACCTTAAATCGGTCGATTGTGTGTCGTACCAGTCTAGGGTGTTAAAAAAAGCTAAGTTAGACCTAATGAGTTATCACATGTTACAATCAACTGAATAACTTTGCATTTATGATATCCAGGGAGAAAAAACCGACTTAATTGTGATTTAAACTACAGAGAATTTGTAATGAAATGCTCTTTTGCAGCTTTCTACCCATCTTAACTCTAAGCATGACATCATATCAATCACTCTTTCTTTTTCACTTATATATATAATTTTCTGTGTTGCATATAAATTAAATTAAATATGCTTCTCTTCAACAGGATGCACCTGCACAGTGTGTGAATAACTCAGATCTGGATGCTTCAAAGCATTCAGCTGGCTACCTGAACAAGAAGAATAAGTTAAATTCTTCTAGTTTGGAAGCCTCGAGTGAGGAAGCAACAATGCACACTTCTATATCTGCCCCCGAGTGAGGAAGCAACAATGCACACTTCTATATCTGCCCCAGATATGTTAATCCCAGATTCATCAACAGATTCAACGGGTATAACAGCAGATCTTAGCAATAAAGTAAAGGTATGGCCAGCTATCTAATTCATGTATGAAACAAAATGTGATGCATCTTTAGATATCTTTTGTTAAGTGATGTTGTCCCACATCTATTAAGTTTTGGGTCCATGGGGATGACAGCAGATCTTAGCAATAAAGTGAAGGTTTGACCAGCTCTCTGATAAATGTTAGAGCCAAAATTGGGTGCGTCTTTAGATACCCTTGTTAAGTGATATTAACAAAGTAATGTCATCTCACATCTACTAAGTTTTGGGTTTCTTGTGGCCTTATACTCATGTTGGGTCTCTCTACCTGCTACCAAATAGTTCTAGGTTCAATGCTGAACATGGTATCAGATCTCGAATATGTTTTGTTTTTCATACCTAATCCCATGTGAGGTTGTACAAAGCCCTTATTGAGCTACACATGAGACGGAGTGTTCAATGAAACTATCCTATGAAGTCTTGGATTTCTTGTCAATTTGAGCCTCTCCACTGTCAGTTTTAAATTGGATGCTTAACATGCTTTGTGAAGGTACAAGAGTGGGTGAGTCTGTTACAACCTTTCTCACGTAAGGTGGCTGTTGTGGTCTGTCCTAACCTAGGTTCTTGTTTCAGGTTGAGCTGACTGAAAATACTATTGCCAAAGGTTTGGGCTCGATAACTCAAAAACAGACAGCTGGCCACTCTGATGAGATGAAAATATGCGCACATGATCTGAAAGTTAATGGATGTGAAATGCAAGGATGTAATACAACTACTATCGGAAAAAGTAATATGTCAAATTCATTTTTGAATCCTGAACACAAAGGAAATATTCAGAAAGCAGATAAGGTACAATAAGCTCTTTCTCTTATGGAATATTTGTATTTATGTACTTGTCAATTTTAAGGGGAAAAATCTTAGGCTTTAGCAAGCTGGTATTTTCGTAGGAGTATTCCAGATACCACTTTGAGTCATTTATTTGAATCTAACTTAAACTACTGCCTATCAATGAGCTTATAATGACATTTTCTGCAAGCAGCCTGGTTAGAACTATTAGTCCCAATAATTTGAGACATGGTGTATTCTAATTCTAGTTTAGGTGCTTTCACACAGGTAGAAAATCTAACATGTGATACGGAGCAAAAGCTATGCGACTTCGCTGTGAAATCTGCACTCAAACAATGCATCAAAGAGTTTAAAGTAGTGTCAACTAACAAGAATCAGTTTTCAAATTCATTATTCAAGGGAGATGAGAAGAGAAAAGACTCTTTGCCCGTTGTGATGCGAAAAGAAGCTGCTCTGAGTTACAATGAACATTCGGCCTTAACCTCACTCGCAGAACTGCAGGATGGAAGTGGAGAGGATAAAACCTCCCATCATATGGAGGAAAAACCACAAATGGAGGAAGTTCAGATGCCTGAAATTTTTTCTAGTGATGGCAAACTGGTTGCAAACTTGCACATGAGGCTACAAAGAGGAATGATAAAGACTGTAGAGATGAAAGCGGAGTCGACCCCCTCTAATGTTGAAGAACCTGGTTTAAATTCAAAGCAAAATGTTTCAAACTCATCCCCTTTTCTGAAAGGCGAGAGGGCTAACAACCATACTTTAAGCTACTCGCTGACTGGGAAAATCATTAAGAAAACAGTTCAGCATAGTCAACGCAAAGCTGAGGAGCCAAGCATGATGCCAGTTGCTAGCCAGAATATGATGTCACTGCCACAAAAGAGATGTAAAAAGCTTTCTAATGTGCCATTTTTTGTCGAGATCAGAGGTTCATGTGTTCAAATGAACATCCCAAAGTTGCATGGGGACCTACATAGGAACGATGCTGCAAAGACTGATTTTGCTGAATCAGAGGCTTCGATCGATAATCCCAGTGGTATAAAAGGTATGGCACCCCTGCCCTCTGATGCAAATAGCTTGATGAAAATGAAGTTGTGCGATTTGAGGGCCATTGCAAGATCACAGAAGCTAAAGAAATACTCGACAATGAAGAAAGAGGACCTGGTCAAACAATTGGAAAACCGATTGAGTTGCTAATGAATATACCAATGGCCACTGTACAGGTTAGTTTACGTCATGTTCCTGTTTTCCTTCTCGTTGTTGTTATAAAAGGAAGTCCTTGTATTGGCATATGTTATGAATTGGTCAATTGTTCTGCATCGTTGTATGATCAAGTCTTCCCCTATGTTGTTGACTCTTCATTTTCCTTGAGCCACCTGTGGCTGGCCCATTTTTGAATTTAGGTATGGAAGTATGAGCTTCTAAGGTGACCCGCGGCAATATCTGATACTTACGTCCGAGTAACATTGGTCTTCAGTCTTCATTTAGGAATGACAGGTTTGCTCAAGCGTATTCAATCACACTAGATAGGGGAATCCTATATTATTAGACCTGATTCTATGACTCATCTAATGACATTTGCTTTTTGTTCAAATTAATCGGGAGATGGCCGTATTTAAATATTAATCACAGATTTGATTTTGTGAATGCAATTCACGAGTAAGGGTTGTATTTGGGCCAGTTTTTTTTTCCTTCCTAAATTGAAGTCCGTGTTCCTATTTTCATCATCACAATCCATTAGGCTTGAGATGGAGATATCCAACACACAAATTGTCATAAACAACAATTAAAAGAAATGGAGAAAAAAGAGCAAACAATCTTCATCGTTCCAATTGTTTAATCAAATAATCACAATCAGACCACCTATCGTTCCAATTATTTGATCCTTATATTTTTACCACCTATCTTTTAAGTTTTGTCAATCAGACCACCTAATTATTTAATTGTTATCAATTAAACCATTTTTCATTATTGTTTAGAGGATAAAGTGAAGTGGCAATTAAATATTTTGGTATAATTACATATTTAATCTCTATTACTTATATATTTTATTAATTTAATCTTGTATTTAATATATTAATTTAACCCTCAAATCAAATAATATCATGAGACACTTATGACATGTTTAAATTAGAGTACCATATACCATTGACCACCTAACTATTTAGTCATTTTACTTTTGTCACCGATTTTTTAATTTTGTCAAACATACCACCTAACTATTTAGTTATTGTCAATTAAACCACTAACTGTTAACAATTGACGGAAATGCTGACGTGTTAGTTAAAAAATTGAAATTGAACTTGCATCCAGAGGGAGACATGATAAGCACCTTAACCAATGCACCTAATGTCCCCAATGGTTTAATGGCCAAAAAAAATTTGTATTTATCCTTTTAAAGCTTGGTAATGATAAAAGAAAATATAGTAAATAAGAATTAGAGCCTAGACAAATTATAAAATTAAAAAGTACATAAATAATTAAAATTCTTAATATTTTAATATATTTTTTATTATTTCATTTTTATATTTTAACATAAAAATAATATTATTAAATTTAATTTTTTAATATTTTTAATACTAATTAGTTGATGGTACGTGTAAACTTTAAAATATAAAAATACTATTAGAAATCTTAAATTTAATATAATGTTCAATTTAATTTTAAAATATAAAAATATTAACTTTTGTTTTAAAATATAATATTTATTTTTATTGTAAATATTCCATTAAATACAATTCAAAAATATATATAACGTATTTAGATATAAATAAAATATTATTATTTTTAAATTATGTATGTGCTCTTTTATTTTATAATTTTATCTAAATTCTAATTTTAATTTATTTTTACTTGTATTTTCTTTTACCATTACCAAGTTCTAAAAGGATAAATACAGTTTGATGTAAGTAATTAACAATTGATGACATGTGTTACCTCCTGATTGGATAAAAATTATTTAATTAAATAAATTAAAATTAATTAAAAACTATCATCCAATCATATATTGACACATGTCACTAACAACACATGTCATGATTGTAACCCCCACAGACCGATAAGGGTAACCAGATCCAATCTGGGTGTCACATTTGGGCCACCAGAGCGACCCACTGTAAAAATAGCGGAAAATTTAAAACTTTTTACCATAACATGTAAACTTATAAAATCATTTGTCACTATTTAAAAATAAAACAGACTTTTGGACTCATATATAAAACAAAATACAATTACATGCCCCCTAATCATATGTACCATTCTCTGGAAACAACGCCGGAAGAATTCCCTTACTGATGTCGATAACTGCACTGGTACAATTCTTTTAACCTGAAAAGGTGAGCAATAGAGTGAGCTTCGAAAAGCTCAGTAATACAGAACTACCAGATGATACTGAAGAACGTACAGATACAGATAAACATACATATCCTTATTATTTCCGAACATTTATAGATTTTTATGCTGAGCAGAGATCCTACTGATATTTCAGATGGTAACGGACAATGAGCTTTCAATTCAGACAAATATTTCGGATAACTGAGTTCAGGAGATCAAAATAGGTTATCTAGTGTGTTCCCAAAAACCATATAACTTTTCAGATCTTTTTAAAACATATATATATATACCCCCATCCCAACACATCATAATGTGTAGGTTCCCCAGAACCATACACCCAACCCAACACATCATATAAGGCCCTGAGCACAAAGCCGAGGAACCTGCGAAACTTCTTCCTTCAACAATACCCCCCAATTAAAACATTTTTCGTCCGTAAACGGATATATCAAAAATCAAAACATAAATCATGTCAAGTATCATATCAGAAATCAGGTCAAGTAACAGATCAGAATCCAAGTCAAGTATCAGATCAGAATCCATGTCAGATATCAGATCAGAATCCATGTCAAGTATCAGATCAGAATTCAAATCGAAAATCAGATAAAATATTCATGTGAGTAGGGAACACACCAGAGTTTATTGACATTATTTAGAGGGACTAGATAATCTTATAAGGCAGAGAAACACATATCTTCAGTTTACCGATAGAATGTCGGTATTTAGGATCACTATAGGAATATTTCAATAACTATCGGAATCATCAGTTATTCAGAATGTGAATTATCAGGATCATATCTTATTCGGACAGTTTTCAGAAGTTGTACGTAATCAGAAGGGTATTCAGGATCTTTTACATCCATATCAATTGAGTGGATAATTGAACAACTTAACAACGAAGATTCAGAACCTTAACAATCTATGTCGATTGATCGCATTATCGAACAACTCTTAGATGAATAGTTCCCAGAACTAATACTTATCGACTGGTCATTTCGTGTCCTTCTAGGGTATTTACACTTTAATACCAAAAATTCTTATTCATAGATCATCTTCGGAATTATCACTGAATAGATCTTCCAATGTCTTTATTTCATTTTTACGCTTCCACTATATCATGAAATACTGACATGTTTGATTTGTAGTTCATGATCCAGAAGAACAATACATCGTGTATGTTCATTAACGTTTCCAGACTCATCCAAATCACTTATTAAAATCTTAGTCATTGAGGTTACTTATTTCACTTAGTAGTCAAATCCATTCCAATTACTTCAGAGTTTTCCAGATTAATTTGGACGTCTCTAAATTTCAGATACATATTGTACTTCTGTTCAGTTCGATCTTCGTGGTTGATTTGTCGGACAAATATCCAATTCTTAGTGCTTAACGCGATCTAGAGTTAAGCTGAGCTGAATACTTCCAAAATTATCATCGAGCCAAACTTGAGAAGACAAACAGCATTCAAGTAATATTTATGCCGTTCAGGTACTGACATATCATTAAGGTTGATCGACTCACTTAAGCTGTGTTCCATAACTTTTAAAGGTAGTTCAACACCTATTCTTATTTGGATTCCTTAATTAATCCAATACATTTGCTTAGAATAGGACACAAGGGTATTTTGGTAATTTTGGTATTCATTTTTATCCCATTTATTTCAGAGCTCGAAGATATCCAATTATTCTTGAGCTTGGTGGTATTCTTGGATCATTTCCATTACAGGGGTATTTTGGTCATTTTACAGATCTATGGTATTTCAATATTTTCCTGCCATCCGGTCTTATTATTTAATTCAATCTTATCATTTACTTCAGTCCTTTCGAACAATTCTAACAGCAGAATACCCCCGATAAATTATTCTTCAAGTATTTACTCATTATTCGAATATTTATGGGTCAAGTGTCTTCTCAGATTTTACAAACGGAATATCCGAAATTTTCCTGCACTAAGTCAGGATCTTAACAATTAAATCCGTACTTAATCGAGTTAAGTACGAATCCCCTAAGTATTTTCTCATTCAGAGTCAACTCAGACTATTCTACCTCTTAAGGGCATTTCCATAATTTCTTAACCAGATAATTTCGATATTTGCTCTTAACGAAAATAATATAAGTTAGAGATCCTATGATTAATTGCTTTCTTGAATACTCTCTGATCTTGAAACGGTTCTCTTAACAAACTTCTAGTATCCTTCACAAACTCTCATAAGATTAAAATTGGTTATCCATAATTTCCAAATAAAACTAACATTCCTTATGCACATCAATATTTTTATCAGATCAATATGTCTGTAAAATCCTCTTATCTAACTTCCATATTCAAATCTTGTCTTTTTATAACATAAGGGTATTTTCGTAATTTTACCCTACCAGAGTATTCTCATAATTTCTCATCCAAGTACCTTTAACATTTAACCTTTGATGAAATAAATTATAAGTTGCAGATACAGGGCTGATTTCTTTATCACTAATCACAAACTTGTAATTTAATCTAACAATTCCTCAATCTCTTATATTAGTCATTCGATCCGTAATTATTTACAGAATTTCTACCACATCATATCGAGTGTATAAATTATTCAACTCCACCAAAGTGACCAACATTATCTTGTTCATGCATTTATCAATATAAAACATGTTTCATAAAGCATAAAGAGGTAGTAAAGTATTATCTCGATTTTTGTGCAATACTGATCGACCATAAAAATTCCATTCGCACGCCTTTGATCTTCAATTCAACTTCCAATAATTCCTCAGATACATATCAACATAAATTATATCAGAAACAGAGCTTAATTGCGATAAACGGACCGAATCGGGTGATAAATCAGTGCAAGATAGCTTACCGGGTTCGAATTTGGCAAAACGGACTTCGGATTCGGATTCAGGACGTCAAAAGCATAAAATATGACTTTTCATAAATTTGGAATTTTCGGTCAAAAACAAAGTCAACGGGTTTGACTGACAATTTCGAGGCCTTCGGGTTCGAATTTCGTAATTTCTTAACCAGATAATTTCGATATTTGCTCTTAACGAAAATAATATAAGTTAGAGATCCTATGATTAATTGCTTTCTTGAATACTCTTTGATCTTGAAACGGTTCTCTTAACAAACTTCTAGTATCCTTTACAAACTCTCATAAGATTAAAATCGGTTATCCATAATTTCCAAATAAAACTAACATTCCTTATGCACATCAATATTTTTATCAGATCAATATGTCTGTAAAATCCTCTTATCTAACTTCCATATTCAAATCTTGTCTTTTTATAACATAAGGGTATTTTCGTAATTTTACCCTACCAGAGTATTCTCATAATTTCTCATCCAAGTACCTTTAACATTTAACCTTTGATGAAATAATTATAAGTTGCGATACAGGGCTGATTTCTTTATCACTAATCACAAACTTGTAATTTAATCTAACAATTCCTCAATCTCTTATATTAGTCATTCGATCCGTAATTATTTACAGAATTTCTACCACATCATATCGAGTGTATAAATTATTCAACTCCACCAAAGTGACCAACATTATCTTGTTCATGCATTTATCAATATAAACATGTTTCATAAAGCATAAAGAGGTAGTAAAGTATTATCTCGATTTTCATGCAATACTGATCGACCATAAAAATTCCATTCGCACGCCTTTGATCTTCAATTCAACTTCCAATAATTCCTCAGATACATATCAACATAAATTATATCAGAAACTGAGCTTAATTGCGATAAACGGATCGAATCGGGTGATAAATCAGTGCAAGATAGCTTACCGGGTTCGAATTTGGCAAAACGGACTTCGGATTCGGATTCAGGACGTCAAAAGCATAAAATATGACTTTTCATAAATTTGGAATTTTCGGTCAAAATCAAACTCAACGGGTTTGACTGACAATTTCGAGGCCTTCGAATTCGAATTTCGAAAAACGGATTGCGGAATCAGATTTGGAACGTCGAAAAATATCAGGATAGGTATGCTCGGTCAAAGTCAAAGGTCGTTTAATGCCCGGTCAAAGCCGATCAAAGTTTTTGTCAACAGTGGTCAACGTTGGTCAACGGTCAACGAGTCAAGGGGTCGGGTCAACAGGTCGGGTCGGGTAAACGGGTCGGGTTGGGTTATGACCGGTCAAACCGGTCAACTATGCACCAAAACCGGTCAAACCGGTCATTTTTCTTTCCCCACGCGCAGTGGCGGCGCGTGGGGAAGCGTGAACAGTGCTCTGATATCGGAAAATTCCCGTAAAAATTCCTAAAAATTATTTTAAGCGATTTCGAGATACTTACAAAGCTCGATTCAATTTTTTGAACAACAGAGAGCCCGATTTCAACGAATCGGAAACTTTGACCGCTTCACCTCCACGTGCGCCGCCGTCGACGGAGACCAAGGATGACACCGGCGAACTCGGAACGATGCAACGAACACGATGGTACGGGAGGTGTCGTAAACGGATGACCCAATCGTCGTGAATCGATGAAAAACCAACTAAAACTGAGTTATTACCGACGATACTTCCGACTGAAATTCACGACGAACGGCGATGATTCACGATGAAAAGTTTGAGGGGTTTTGTTCCACGGTTAACAACGAACACGATGGTGGTTTCGGCTTGTCGATCGGAGGTTGGACGGCGAGTAGATCGGAGTTGAAAGTTGGGTTGAGGGAGAGGGAAAACTGGAAAAATTTCCAGAAAATATACGGGAATTGGGGTTTATAACATCTCATATTTAAAAATGGTTAAATCAAGAATTTAGCCACTAAACTTTCTGTACTTCATAAAACGGTATGCCAACTTTAATATTTTACAATTTAACCCACTGTTTCTTTCAAAATACCAATTAAATCCACCACTTTATAATTTCTTAATTTTTAGCCCCTAAATTAGGGTGTTACAATGATCTTGTGTCGACACATGTTAGATCATGATTGAATGATTAATTTAATAAATTAAATTTAAATTAGGACTAAATTAATATAACATATAAATATTAAGAACTAAATGTATAGTTATGCCAATTTTTTAACTGATACACCAATATTTTCATCAATTGTTAACGGTAAGTGGTTTAATTGACAATAATTAAATAGTTAGGTGGTCTGATTGACAAAATTAAAAGATCGGTGACAAAAGTAAAAGGGTTAAATAGTTAGATGTCAATGGTATAGTTTACCCTAATATTTAATCAATTTATAGTGACAAATGACAATCATCCCTACTTTTAGGAAGAGTCATTTTATAACCTTCCATCGACTCAAGTAGTTAATTCTATATCATATTTTTGATCTACGACAAAAGTTTTACACTACAATTTGTGTTGAAACTTTCTTCCAGCAACGTACATCTAATTTTTCTCTATTTTAACACCGAAGCAATATAAGAATTAAACAACATGAATCTTAATCTTATTTTAATAAGGTGAACCACCAATCATCCTTATAATCTTATTTTTATGTCATGATTTATATATCTTCTATCTTTTTAAAATTTTATTAATAAAAAGTATCATCTACAAAAAGTTATTTTATAACCTCCCATCAATTAAAGGAGACATATTATAATACAATAATATATATATATACATTTTAAAAAATACAATAATAATTCATATATGTACGAACTAAAATTATCTCAATGATTAAAAGAATCGATGTTTTTCGTATAGGTTATGAGTTCTAATATCAACGATTACAAGATTGATTGAACATTCATTGTCAAATGATTAAGAGTACTTAAAAACATATATTACTTTATAATTTCTTTTAACTTAATACAAAAATAATTAATATATGATAGTGTGACTCACTCTCATCGTATCATTCTAACTTTTAAACTTTCTGTGAAACTTTTATTCAATCAGATGTGTTTTACACAGTAAAATTGATATTTTAATTTTTTAAATATATAATATTTAAAAAAATATCAAACTACTGATATTAAATACATTCAAGTCCAAAAATTACGTTTAGGAAGTTATCAATTTACAAAATTATTATGGATGGTAAAAAAAGTCTATATATCAAAATAGACTGAATTATTGGTATAATATACATAAAAACGTGAGATAATATTTAATTATTTTATGATTTAAGGATAAAAAGATAAGTGAATAGTCTGATAATATATCAATCTCTTATTCAATTCTTAAATCATAAATATCAATTATTTTATTTAAGTAATAAAAATATTAAAAAAAACAAAAGTAAATGAATCGAAATCCAAATTACTTACGTTACGGAAAACAAAATATATGAATCGTGGAAGCTCCCGGAGACAATACTTAGGTACGTGTTGACTAAAGCCTAACAATTATGCATCCACGCTTTTCCCCTCCTTTCTAGCACCTTACCTGGTTGTTCCACAATTTTCATTTTCATCTATAATCAACAATGCTTTGAGAAGTATTCGAGTACAATTATACCCTTAAAATTTTTAAATTCTTATATAGTTTAAATAATTTTTTTTAAAAATTTGAATCTCCTTGCATAAACTCTTTGCCCACAGTTTAAAAATCTTGTGTTGGATGATTATACCCTTAAAATTTTTAAATTCTTATATAGTTTAAATAATTTTTTTTAAAATTTGAATCTCCTTGCATAAACTCTTTGCCCACAGTTTAAAAATCTTGTGTTGGATGATTATAGGTTGTTCCACAATTTTCATTTTCATCTATAATCAAGAATGCTTTGAGAAGTATTCGAGTACAATTATACCCTTAAAATTTTTAAATTTTTATATAGTTTAAATAATTTTTTTTTAAAAAATTTGAATCTCCTTGCATAAACTCTTTGCCCACAGTTTAAAAATCGTTTGTTGGATGATTATATGTTATGCCCTTTCATCAATATAAATGATCAAAACATAGTGAGCAACAAAGAGGTGCAAAGTAAGATGGATACGAGAATTCGAGTATCGATGTTCCCATGGTTAGCCCATGGCCATATTTCACCCTTCTTAGAGCTAGCCAAGAGGCTCGTCAACAAAAACTTGTACATTTACTTTTGGTCCACTGCGGTAAACCTCAACTCCATCAAGCCCAAGATTTCTCTCAAACACTCACTTTCGATTGAGTTCATTGAGCTCAAGCTCCCATTGTTGCCTGAGCTTCCTTCTCACTACCACACCACCAATGGGTTGCCTCCCCATCTAATGAACACTGAAGAAAGCCCTTTACATTTCCAGCAATGGGTTTTCCAAGTTATTGGAAGCCCTAAACCCTGATCTGGTCACTATACATTTCTTTTGTTCCTCTGCAGCAATGGCTTCTTTTGTCTTTCATGCATTGAACAACACTAATGTTGAGGGGTTTCCCTTTCCTGAAATTTATTTGAACAATTATTCGACAGGGACCTTCGGCAAGTTGCTTGAGAATAGTGCAGGTGATTGCAAAGATAAAGATAGGATTCTTCAGTGCTTTCAACAATCTTCCAACATCGTTTTGGTTAAGACTTTTAGGGAGCCTGAAGGGAAATACATGGACTACCTTTCAATCCTAGTAAACAAGAGGATAATCCCAACAGGTCCACTGTTTCAAGACACCATTGAAGAACACCATGAGAACGAAAAAGAATTGATAGAATGGCTTACCATGAAGAGAAAAGGCTCCACCGTGTTCGTTTAATTCGGGAGCGAGTGCTTTCTTTCTAAGAAAGAAAGGGAAGCCATAGCCGAAGGGCTTGAGCTTAGTGAGGTAAACTTCATTTGGGTTATCAGATTCCCTGTTGGAAACCCAAGCTCGTAGTGGCATTACCCGAAGGATATCTTGAAAGGATCGGCAGGACAGGAGTGGTGGTAGAAGGTTGGGCACCGCAGGCGAGAATACTGCAACACTTGAGCATAGGGGGATTTGTGAGTCACTGCGGATGGAGTTCGATAATGGAAAGGTTGAAATTTGGAGTTCCAATCATAGCAATGCCTATGCATCTTGACCAGCCATAGAATGCTAGGGTTGTAGATGATGTTGGAGTTGGCGTGGAGGTGAAGAGAGGCAAGGATGGGAACCTTGAAAGGGAAGAGATAGGTAAAGTGATTAAACAGGTGGTGGGAGGGAAGGAAGGGGAGAATATAAGGAGAGCTAGAGAAATGAGTAAACATATTGAAATGATGGGAGATGAAGAGGTAGATGAAATTGTGGAAGAATTCAACCAAATTTTATACAAAGCAGGTTGAATCACGAAGACCAAGCAACAAAATACAAATGTTGATAGTTAATCATTTATACATACTACGTTTATCTATCAACCACTCCTCTCTTCTTTGGCTTCAAGAGCATCTACGTCTTCATTAGATAGAAGGTCGAGAACGGGTTTATAATAATCCCACTCCTTTCTTTTCCTGAAACACCAGAAACAAAAAGGCTAACCATAAGCATCTTTCTTTAGAACTTTCTCAAGTGACAGAGCAAGCAGATAAGAGCTCGAACAAGAGTGTATGTTGGAATTCTAGTGAACCTGTTTGTGTTGACTTTTAAAAAATAGAGAGCCTTTATCAAACTATGTAATATGTTTTCTAAATTCTAATATGGGGGCATGTAAGAGAATCCTGTTTGTATTGACTTTTAAAAAACATAGCAGAAGAATTATGTTGGAATCATAGTGGACCTTTTAAATTTGACCCAAATCAAAATAAAACCATTCGCAAACAATGAAATTGGATATAGAAATCCAAACCCCACCCCTTAAATACAGTTTCCAAATGGACCATAACAAATTTTCAAGACTAAATACATTTTTCTTCATGAAAGCGAGCATACCGAACAACACTTGATCTGAATAACTTCATCAAGTCCAATGCAGCACCACTAGGTTTACTGTGAGAGCAAAAAGAGAGAGTAATGTCATCAAAATGCTCAAAAAAATTGAGGCTTCATATTGTAAGGAAACAACACAAACCTGATAGGGAAATGTTCAGCTGCTCGACGACCCTTTTTGTTTATTCTGTTCTCTCTTGCTGAAGTAACATTTTGAATCGCAATCTAAAATACATACCATTACCACGATGCAATAACCGCCAGACCATACAATAGTTACATCAATGACTAAGAAGATAATGTAGAAACACTTGATAGCTACTACGAAGATAAGGTAGAACATATGATAGCTACCTCATAAAGTTGCTCTCTGATTGCTAAGGCAATTGCTGGCTGCAAAGAATAAAGTAATCATATACATAAGATATGTTTTTAAGGCACAAAAAGAGAATGAAACAGGGTAGAAGAATATTTTATGATCGTGCTTATAAAATGAATAGCTTACCCCAACTTCAGGGTCTTCAATGCCTACATCTTTGCAAAGAGTTCTAGCAAATTCTTCAGGGTCACTATCAAAGTTGTTCAAGTCCTACAAGAAGTCAAGATAATAGAATTTAAACATCTCATTGAGAAAAAATTGCATAGCTTACAAAAGATAAATGATGAACAAGCATGAGAACGCACAAGAACATGCATATAATGATGATATGATAGTCATTTTTCAATTCTTACCCATAAAAACTGATCCCGAATAACCGTATGATCGACTCGAAGATCAAGCTGATGAAATCCATGTGATGGATAAAAAGGTGTTAGAAAAACATTAAATAGAAAATGTAATATTTATATAAATCTTGTTGGCAGTTTACTTATGAAAGAAACCTTAATTGGAACAATCTTGTCCCCAACATACATGTCTTGGCCTGCATATGATCGAAAGGTGGCAAGCTGTGACTAAAAAATAACAAGCAAAGTGAAGAATAGGAGAACGATAAGTACATCAACAAATTGGCTTTAAAGTGCACATTTTTTTTTTAATTTTGAGGATTGAAACGATAGGAAGAAAACCATTATAATTACCTGAATGAACTGAACGATTTGAGGAAGGAAACCAGGGGCAAGCTTCAAGTCTTTTACAGTCCTTTTTGCAAACATCACCACCTCTGAATCGGGATCTTTTGGAAATAGACATGCACACACGAGAATACGTACCACTTCCATTAGCAAACTAAATTAAGGTTGTGTTAAGAACTTGGATTTCGAATAATAAATTTGAATTCAAAAAATAGTATAATCATGTAACAAAACGCATGAAAATGTAATCACTATTTATGAATTTGAAATTTATGTTTTCGTACTTTCAAATATTTTCATTAATTCGCACCTAACGTATGCATTTTCCCGCAACTCATATAACAAATGAAATCTAAATCAAAATTTCCAAATTAATGTTTTCAAAGACAGCATAAGAAGTTTCTCGAAATTTCTTCCATTCATGAGAAACGACACTTAAAAAGGGTTGATACGTACCATAAGGGTTCCAAGTGAAAGCGTCTTTATACCGCTGACCATCGACTTCGATATCCAGCCTAATGGGTACTAAATTCTCCGCTGCCGGCCTTCAATTTTTGGATCAGAATTAGCAAACCAGGCTTTTAATCCTGATAAACAAAGACTCAACACATAAACCCTAGATACAAAGAAGAATTATGAGCACAGAGCTTACATCCTGAACTTCAGAGGGGCTTTCCATGAGGCTGAAGCCGGCGATTTCATGTTGATTCACGTGAGATTAACTTTTCCTCCTTAAGTTTCGACCTCCTTAAGCAAATTACATTGAATATTTCGAGTCTCTTAAACCTAGGCTAGGCCAGATCCAGAAGAGCCCTAATGTTTGTGGTCTTCCACTTTTGGGCTTGTCCAATTCAAATATGATTTGAACCATTTGGTCATTGATCTCAACGATCTATGGCCCAAATTATAAACACGGTAAAAGGGTTTTTTGGACCAATAGGGAAAACGATTTTATTAATTAGCCCAATCAGACATATTGAAGTTTATTTTGGCTTTTACGACACTTGCTATAGTTTCAAAAGAACTTGTCACGTCGAGGTGACAAGTTTCACTCAAAATTATATTTTATTCAACTGATTAATATTTAATTATTTTTCGTGAAATTAATCATGTCAACGTGACGAGTTCCATTAAAATAATATTTTTAATTTGGAGTGTTTTATCCAAAAAAATAAAATAAAACTAGGGAACTCGTCATACCGAGGTGACGAGTTCCTTTGGGTTTAAAATAAGTAGTCGTTGGCTAACAACATTAATTTTTGAAATGATGGAACTTGTCATGTGGGTATGACGAGTTCCAACGGCTATTTTGGGAAAAATTTCATTATAGATAGAAGTAGGATGAGTTTATAGAGTGTATATGAGAATGTAATCATGCATTTGTGGGAAGAATATTATGAAAAATTTTCGAATGATATATTTAGGTATGATTAACTTAAACATCGATGATTCGGATTTGAGCTCGTCTTCGTATGAGTAGTGGGTAGAGGAAGCAATGAAGTCGATACTTGATTAACATGAGGAGAGAAGGAAACTTGAAGAAGATAATAAGGACATGAAAATCGATGAGGATGGGGAGGATGCGGAGAATGAGAAGTATGAAGACTTACCGATCCGACGTAGCAAATGACTTACACTTATAGAGAGGAATGAAAAAAAATAGTGTAGAAATTGAGAAGAAGAAGAAGACGAAAATTTGTTTTTTATGTTGAAAAACATATTTTAAATATACATATGAATTTATGTTTAGTTAAAAGTTATTTATTAGTAGTTTGTAAATTATGTATGAAAAGTGCAAAATCTAGATGGTTAATGATGCTCATAAATTATCAAAAAAAGGTACAACAAACAACATAGGAACATAATTACAAAGATTTTATTGGCCCGCTCGATATTTAGGAAGATTTAGACAATGGTTTCTGTTGTAGCATTCACCTGTACGTTGCCCACAAAGCCTTGGTAAACCTTGCTCTCATTGAGGATCATCCATATCAACATGAATTTGACTAGATTCAGGTCGACCCTTCAACTTCTTTCGTAATTGTGGATTTGACATCATTCTTTAGAAAATATTGGTGGCCAATAAGTATCTTTTGGAAGATACTTCAACTCACAATTGTATATGTTGTGCATAGTATGCAGGCTATAACAATCAACAACATATGAGTATGGGTCAACATTAATATGCATACATACAACAACAAAGTGAGTGCATGGGTGATCGCGTGTAAATGCATGCGCTGTGGCATGCAAATCTGTGCAAGTATACACAATCGATGCAAGTAATACAATAATGAGTGAGTATCGTCTCACATGGATTGGGGGAATTCTTTAAAGATTGTTTTAGCTAGGAATATATGTCAGTAACTAATCCTAAACACCTAAATCTAATGGTATAAACAAATGAGAAATGTGTTATGGCATGTGGTATGAACAGATGGAAAAAATTGGCTGAGGCAAGAATTGTGTGAAGTGAAATGAGCAGATAATTTTTGCCGTGACAAGAAAAATATGCTAGAGTAAACAAATAAAAAATTGCTAAGGTAAAAATTAATTGCAAGAGTAAGTAAATAAAAGTTGTTAAGGTGAATTTTTTTTGAGTTATGAATATAGACTAACAACCTCACACAATCTGACTTCTAACTGAGCATTTGGGTTGGATTTACTACTGCGAGAAATTATTCTATGCCTAGGATGAACTAAGTATGTTGTACCTATGTTGCCCGATGGAAATTATTAAAGTGTTCCTAAGCTATCTCTAGTAAGGAACCTGATATAAATATTGCCATGATAATACTTCTCAGCGTAAACAGTGACCCTAGCCTATCGATTGAGTAATATTTCTTTTAGTCGCTTGAAACCCTCTCATTATCTTTAAGTTAGATTAAAACCTCGCCATCTCATATTAGTTCCCTTGTTCACGTAGATCTAACCTAACTCTATCGATATTATGTACCAACTCTTAGAAAAATGACTATTTCTCAACAACTCCTATAAAGATTAGGAATATTATGCCAAAACACCAGACAAACTCTTAAAAACTCTTACAATGCTAAGGCATAAGACTAAAACAATGAACAAAACAACAATAGACATAAATATACTTAATCATCCATTAAACATAAAATAAGGTATCATCCAAACATCTCAAACACCAAATAAAATAGTTAATGGTATGGCTAAAATCATCCCCAAATATTCATTAAGTACAAGCCCTTAAAAGATAAGAAATGAAGAACAAGGAGAAGAAAACTCCAAAAAACAGAGTTATTGTCGTAACAGTAGACCATCACTATGACTGCTCCAGCGCACTAGCCTCTCTCTAAGGCCTAACCGCTACTCCGACGAAGCCCGACTATAGAGGACACCAAGGAAGGATGAGAGGAGAAGAAGGTGTTACAGTTGCATTTTCCAAAACTTTTTAGGGTAGGTGAGAGTGGAATCTCTTAAATGGTGGGCATAATATGCTATTTATAGTGAGGAATTTCTAGGGTTTAGTGCCATTGATATTTCCCCAACTACCCTTGAATTCATGCCTATTTCGTGAATGATATGGCAGCTGGTAGTGGCTCCAAATCCTTGGCCGGGGCAGAGGTTCACGTGAGGTGTATTAGATAATTACCCGTGCGACGTCAGCAATTTTGTCTCGTACTGCGTCAGATTTGCAAGATAAAACTCGTCGTGACAAATATCATCTTTAGTTCCTTTAGCCCTTGCACAAAATTTGTCTCGGAAAATAATTTCCTTCTCGGTCACTTCCTATCACTTGCATCATCACATCCAACACACAATACTTCTCATCAGCAGCATCAATTTTATAAAGAAAACTAGTTGAGGTAAAACTTTTCCACCACACGCATAAAATGTCCTAAATGCAACTAAAATTGGATGACAATGGCTTTTAGACAAACAATAACTTAAGTAAAAAGATGTAAAATATAATCTTTTTACGGAGTTGTAACACCCTCAAACTTAAGTTATTGCTTGTCCTCAAGCAATGAATAATGAACAATAGAAAATAAAATGCTATGGCGAAGTTATAATTAGGACAATCAAGTGGTCTAAAATTTTAGCCCTCAACGAACAAATATGTTTTGAGATTTATTATGTCATCTTAACGGGTTTACTAAAATCTCAAAGTGGACAAATCTATATAGCTTAAATTGTCATGAAAGTAACTATGTTACTTATTTTATTTCAGAATTTTTTTGTCTGATAACAAAATTAAAAATAATTAATTTTCTATTTATTGGAATCTTTGATTTCATTTTTGAAATCAATTGAGATTTTAATTATGTCGTACTGATTTATTTCAAAATTTTAGTTCATGACTAAATTTTGTTGATAGAATAAATCAAAATTTAATTTTGGTTTATTGTTGGAATTATTACTAATTTTAGTTTCGTGTGTTAAACGAAATCGTGGTTGTCGGTGATAGTGAGCCACGATGAGAAACTTGTAAAATTCTATGAACAAAATATCTCATTTGATGATACCAAAAGTATTGCTGTGTGTATTTTCTAAAAGAGCAAAACCAAGTTATAGAAAAAATTATTTTCTATAAACATGAAGTTGAAAATCAACTTAATAAATATATTAAGATAGTAAGAAGTGTGCATAACATGATATTACTCATGAAGTGACATCACTATATTCTCCTAAAATAAATGGATTAGTGAAGCGAAAGAATTGAACAATGAACGAAATAGTAAGAAATTATGAGTTGTCATAGAACATTTGGGGGAGATTTTGTTCTGTCAAATTATCTTTTAAATAAGGTCCCCAGGAAAATGACAAGACATCATATGAGTTACGAAAAGTTTCAAAATATGTGTCATACAACACTTGAAAATGTGGGGGTGTCTTGAGAAGGTAATTGTTATATTACCAAAACAAATGAAAATAAATCCTAAACAATGGATTGTATTTTCTTTGACTATACTATCTTAGAAGGATAGAACAATGCTTTTTGGAATTTGATATTTAAAATATCAACGACTCAAGTGAATATGTTTCACATTGGAAATAAAAAGTATCATGGAAATCCTTAAGAAAATGGTTATAATCAGATTCATAGTGAAATATGAGTTTAAAGCTCTAGATAAGTCTGGAGAATAAGTTGAATTGTTTTGGAATTTCTTGAAGGATATTCTTAAATGGCTTAAACATGTGCCCACAATATGTTTATACTATGACTAACAAGTATAATGCTAATTCAAGACATATGCGTCGTCGAATTAATACCATAGACAATTGATCTCAAATTGAGTTATCTCTGTTGATTTTGTAAGATCAAAGGATAACATTATAGATCTGCTAACCTAAAGGTTAAATCGAGATCAAGTTGAGAAAACATCTAAAGGAATTTGACTAAAGCCTATGGAATTTAAAGGTGTTATGTGAAGGAAAACCTACCTTGTTGATTGGAGATCCCAAGATCTAGGTTTAAAGGGACAACCTAATTGCATAACCTGTGTACGATCACTGTGGGGGTTTCTTATCCCAAGTCCACTCTTATGATGTAAACAGTGATCAAAGTGGTATAGGCTAAGCAAAAAGCTCTTAATGACCATTGTGTGCTTCGGTGAGCCGATCAACATAAGTCACCTATGTGAGAGTGAAGTGGGATCGCTTCAAGGAGACTATTGTGCATAGTTCTTTCAAACTCTTGCAAACCATCCAGATGCCCATGGCTTTAAGGACATACCCATGAGAACTAAATTCTTTTCAGAGGGGTAGTTGTGTGAAGTATGTCATCGTTTACACAAACGGCAAAATAGTTCAAGGACATCGCATCTATTGTTTAACCAGTAAAGTAAATATATTGTCACAAGGGAAGGTTCAAAGGAGGATAACTACATATCCTATGCAATTATCAATCGTATAGGCTATCACCACATTGTGCTAAAATGTTTTTGATTAAATCATCAATTTCATTCATGTGGGGGATTGTTGGAAAAAATGGTGAATTTAATTGATAGATTTAATATTTATATTAAATAAATAGTCCTTTTGACTATTGCAAATTAAAAGATAATTTTTAATTTGAATATTAGTAGGATAATTACTCTTTTAATAAGTTATTTTAAAAATGTATTGGTTATACTTTTAATTATGAATATTAAAAGATAATTTTATACTTTTGTATATTTTAAATTAAAAATAATATTTGTTTAAGTTTGAATAGCAAAGGGAGTTTACCTTTTGACCATTGCAAATTAAATATATTATTTAATTTGAATATTAGTAGGATAATTCTCTTTGAATTTGTCAATTTAAAAATATATTTGTTATATTTTTAACTTTGAATATTAAATATAATTATATATTTTTGTATATTTCAAATTAAAATAATATCTATTTAAGTTTGAATGGTAGAAGGAGTTTTATTTTTTGAATATTTCAAATTAAAATATGTTGTTATATGTTTAATGTTGAATATTAAAAGAAATTTGGTTAGATTAAATCTCTCTTGAAAATTCCTATAAATAGTAAGTAAACCTGTTAGATTTTTTACATCTTAACATATCTCACAACTCAGTTTTCAAGAATTTCTCTTATCTTGAAAAAGTTTTTATCTTCCTTAGTTTTTCCGGTTATAGTCGAAGGCAATGATCGTTCATGATATGTGCAGATGTGCTAGTGTAACTGATCATTAATTGTTGTATCCTGGGAGAGAGACGACTAACGAACTCGAGCACCAAAGGAGTAGCCAAAAATCTGTCTTAAAAAAACTGTATAGCGACATGCCTCAACTGATTCCGATCGATAGATCAAAATAAAAGGAGTATTTGATTTCCATTTATTTTTATCTTATCTTCTAAGAAGTTTAACATTTTTTGTTTATTTTCTTAGGATTGATTTTGTCTCAAATTGTTATTTCGGATAACAATCTCAAGATAAGAGTAAACTCGTTCTTTTTCTTTATCATTTTGTACTTTTAATATTTTATAATGATATTTATGTATTATAATTTTTTATATCATTATCGGATTAATGTACGTGTTTTTTTATTAACAATAGGTGGTCTGAAAGAGACGAGAATGTGGGAAATTAACAGGCAAAATAGCCTCCGAAGAAACCTTGAATAAAGGCTCGTTGTCTAGTACCATCAGATCATTCCTAAACCAAACAAGGGAACCCTCTTTTCCATTTATCTTCACTATGGTAGATGAGTACCTTTCGAAGGTCTTCTCCGCAATGTTGTCCATTTTAATGGGGTCTAGTCCCGGAACCCGGAACAAATTTGAGGAAGAAACACACTGTGATCGGGATTCTGAAGCAGAGCTCATTATGCGCCAAAAATTGAAAAGGAACCTAATTTGAGTTGAAAATGCAACAGTTGAAGATGAATTATTTGTTAGCAAAAGTGGAAGTAAAGAGGAAGGAGAAATAATACTTATACGGGTGTTCAAACGGTTAATTCAATTACCGACTGTATCGAATTACCATTAATCAAATTAAATGAATTTTTTTCTTTAATCGTTAACCGAACCAAACTTTTTTTTAAAAATACTGATTGAATCGAGCAAAATTCGACTATTTCAGTCGATTAACCGAATTAACTGATTTTTTAATAATTTTTTAATTATATTAATTTGGTTATAATTGAAATATTGTTTATTTGGGTTAAAATTTAATTTATTGATAATTTAACGAATATAGTGTGGTTAAAAAATAACTAATTCCTAATTCTTAATGGTTTTGAGCTTAAATATGGATTTAATCAATATAATATATTTATTATTTATTAAAACAAATAATGAACTATAAATACACATATGGAAAAATTAATCAAAATAATGAACAAAAAGTTACAAAAAAATCATATTAACGTGCCACATAAACTTTCCGTCACCCACAGTAATGGTTGTTAACGTCGAGCGATCATTTTATAATAAACGATAACATTATTGACTGCGACGTTACCATTTTATAATAAACGACAACATTAGTGACCGATTTGCAACTTTTAAAAATCAAACATTTACCCAAACATTAGTGTCCAATTGCATAATTTACCCTTAAAATTATCTCCCAAATAAATTACTAATGTTTTAGAGTGTGCATTATAAGAAAAGAGTACGAGTTTCATTTCTATAAATTTCACAATCATAATGAAAATTCCTCTTATTTATAAACAAAAACAATGTCGAGAGTCAAAAAGAAATACCAAATATCCACTATTGCTCGAAAAAGACTGAATTCGTTTCTCAAGCATAATGAGCCTGAGTTTTACCAAACAAACCCAACAGATCGAACCAATACAACGAACTTAAACAAAATAAAAATCATATTCGGATCAACTTATAAGTTCATAATAGAACTAGCAAGTAAATCAAACCAAACTCGAGTAAAAGATTTAAAATATTCAAATGAAACTCCAATCCATGGACAAGTCTAATTTCTCTGTGCATGCTCCAAGACTTGATTATATGTGCTTTAGAACAGTACAATCACAAAGAAAGGTTAGACATCTAGTTCATCAAAAGAAAAGTTAAATGAACCGCACAGATATAAAATACTCTTTCAACTATTATCAAATAAAATCCGAAAACCAAACAATTCATAATCCCAAACAAAGTAAACAAAACATGATATGACTGACAAACTACTAAGTGATAGCCACCATCTCGATAGGAGTTCAATCGAAAATAGATAAAATTTCTTAGAAATTGGGTCTCTCAATAAAAGAAGCCAAGTACTTTTCCACCAACATTCTTCCTTCTGGCTTCTTCGTGATCCATAATTCCAGCAGATGTGGTGAGCACAATGTAGCCAAACTGCAACGGTGAAACCGATAAAAATGTCAAATCTAGTCAAGCTTTTTAAAAATATCTATAATCAAGTTTGAAGTACATGTAATTCCAGCTAATCTGTAAATGAGCAGAGTCTAGCTAGCTCAAGCAATTTGATTTTTATATCTAATCAAGCTCATGCTTTAAAAGTTAATGTCAAATTTTGAATCACAGTCGGAGCTTCTTACTAAGAAGACCAAATAATAATATCCATTAGTCAATTGTCATTTATTTTCCAAACAAAAATTTCTAGTGCTTAGAAAATACTACTAACTAATAGTTCTTGTGAAAACATTATCATCAAAAACTAAATAAAAGAGATTAAACGATCAAGAAATTTCTTAGCTAACCTGTCTCGAAGGAAGTAAACGAGCAGTCCAGCCCTCTATCTCCTTCACTCCAATATCGAAACGAGGACTGATAACACCGCACTTGTTCAGCCTTCCATTCAGTTCAACCACGATTTTACCAGATCTATGATCATCTACGTATTCAAACTCTCCAATGTAACCTGTAATATCATTCAAAGCAATGTACTTAAATCAAACAAACCTAAATCCTAGCATAAACTATTAAAACTAGAATGAAAGCTAAAAGACATATTATAGGAGAAACAAACCATGCTTTTGCATCACCAAAAGGAACTTGATGATAACTTTAGAGGACGGCCTGATCATCACTTGCCGTTTCCCCCTCTTCTCTGCATTGTACATGCTCTTGAGTGCATCATTCAAAACGCTCACCCTCACCATTTTTCAAATACAAGCTGCTCCTGCTTCTGATTTTTCAGATGAAATAAGAAACAGTTATTGCATCCATTTCTGAATCATATTCAATCAAAATATTTTACAATAAAACCAAAGTCAGACAATCTCCCAACATATTACATGACCGTAAGCAATGCAAACCCGAAACGTACGAACCGAAGAATCACTCGGTTCCAAACAAACCCAGATTTTAGGGAACATCAGAAAAAATGGATATTGTATCCTCCTGCACTCCTATAAGCCATTAGAGTCTCGTTCTTTTTAAAAAATAATCGAACCAAGAACAATAACAACATTCCAAAAACAGAAAAGGACAAGTTTCAAGATTTACAACCTGATAAAAAGAAGAGAGCGTTCAACATACCTGAGAGCAAATAAAAAATGGCAGCTGCGTCAAAGTTGCTTGAGGAGAATGCGGAGAGAAAGAGTAAGTTAGGGTTTTTGGTTTTTAAAGGAGGCGGTTGCAATGATAGTAAAGAATTGTTTGGACTTAGGGTTTTATGTGGGACTTCCTGAATCATAGACCAAATTATAGAAAACCAGCGCCCAGTTAAGCTGTTTGGCCCTAAAAGTAAAGCATTTCTTGACGGTAACGTAGGCCTAATTCAAATATAGACGCGTAGGCCTGACCCAATTCACCTGGGCTTGATTAAAACGGTACACGTGTTCACCACATAAGACGGTTATATAATGTTCCAGCAATTCATGCGTCACTACAGCAGTCAGCAAAGATGGTTTTACAGGAGGCAGAGGAGAGAGGGGAACAAATGGCGGCAAATGAAAACCATCCGAAAAATATCGATGAAAAGAAAATTCCTAAAAAAATAAAAACCTAAAAAAGCCATGATAATAAATAATGGTAATTATTAGTATTGTTATTATTATTATCTGGAATCTGCCCTCCATTGGTTCATCTACTATTTTCTTCTCTCACTCTTATAACTATCAATATCATACGACATCAATTAAGGTATTCTTTTATTCTTCTTAATTTTTAATTTAATCTTTTCTGGTATATGTTTCGAGGTTATTTTCGATCAAATATTGTTTTCTTTGCCCTAAATAATTTGTTCATCGTTGTTCGTTTGATGAGATATTGGAGGAATTTTAAACAAAATCTATGGTTCATTCTGTTTCCATGATCTTTTAAACCGTGTATAGTGATAAAATTGTTGTTTGATTTCTGAGAAAATGGAAGCAAAATTGGAAGAAAGCGGATGGAAGATTATAAATTGTAAGATCCCTTTTTACTTTTTTTCCAGTGAAATTTTAATATCTTTCAAATGCATTCCTTTTGCCTTAAGTTTAATCCGTGTTTTGATGCTCATAAAATGCACCAGAAAAACGAAGAAGAAAAGAAAGTAGATCCTCTGAGTTTAATATCTAAGATTCCTTTTGTTTTTATAATGTTGTATGATATATTGTAATGAGTTGAATCCTGCTTTATTTGTTGATCAAATAGAGGAAATTTGAAGATGAGGCAAAAGAAATTTTTATGTTTTTTTCCAGTGTTCTTTTTATATTTGCATACAAGCTTCCTCGAGTTTCTTTAGATCAATTTTTACCATGTCTAATTTGATTTTTGATCATCATTTCAAATTTTAATACAGAGAAGCTCTCGAAGACAATGTTGTTTTGGCATTCAAGCTCAAGGCAGTAAGATTAAATTGTTCTCAAATGTTTTACATTCATGTTTCATCATAAAGGTTTTGTTATTTAAACTATTGTAATATGGGCATGAAAACAATGTGAAAAAAATCATATGAACATGATTGTCATAATTTATATAACACAAAGTCTAACATGTCAAATATTTTAAGAGTATGTAACACCTTAAATATGATTATGACATGGAAAATAACGACATGTATACACAAATTGCCAAGTCTATACTGTATTATGGATTGGAGCATGAGTAGGAAAAAATATTGCTGGTTATTTATTGAAAAATGGCTCTCTTTAGAGCATAAATTAATAACAATCAAAGTTTTGATAATATGACAGACTACATTGACCCCACCTATCATGGGCTTCAAAATTTCACTAAAAAATCCTAACATGGGTGGATGCATCTCATGTTAGATAAAGATCAATTGTGTACAACAATTTGTTAGTAAAAAAAATTCGTCTCTTCTACCCTGCAAATTTCTGTTTCCTTTATGGGAAGATGCTAGTTGGCTATTGTAGTTCCCTTTATGGATTGACTCATTGACATTGGTTTGTACCTCTGGGTAACAATCATCTCTGTATCATGACTGGTTCATTTCTTGTTTTCACTCTTCATCTTGACCAGCTTGCTTGCAGGAAAGTGCAACCTAGCCATAAGCGGCCGTGGTGCTCGCGTTTTTTGGTCAAATCCCCTTACACAAACAAATCCTGCAAATAATTTGAGTCAGTTAAAGGAGCATGGGTGAAAGCATGACAAATCTTCAATACATGCGTAATCATCATTCATTGCTAGTTCTTAAAAGAGTGAAATGTGGTTCAACTGAATTTCTTTGCATATTAATTCAATGTTTCTGGAAGGACTTTGAACTAGGGATGTTTTAAAATAGCTGTATTCTAAATGCATGCATGGACACTTTTTATTCTAAATGCATGCATGGACACTTTTTAAAACATTTTTAGGTGTTAAAAATGGTAAAGAAGACGAAAAAAAGGCAACCTGTTTTTCTTGTTGAAAATTTTGGTTAGCTTATGATCTTATTGTAAAAATAAACAGTTTTTGTCCCATCTCTTTATGTGTGTCCAATGAGAAGCTGATGTTTGTTGCATGCATATATGATAAATAATGAAAAGTGAGATTTCATACCTTTCCAAAAGCAGTACTGAATTCCCTCAGTTGAAAGTCCTAGTAGACAAAGATTAGTTCTGTAAGTATCCTTTTACTTTATTACTGAACCAGGACAATAATTTTAATGTTCAAAAGCTTGATGGGTGGTAGTTTCTTACCTTTGAATATTGATGACACAGATGTTCCAAAGTATACAGTTCGTCTTGGTAAATTCCAAATCCATTCCCTTGGAACGTTGATTGGGTTGAGGCTTGATTCATGATCTGCAAAGACCTGTGTGGTAATAACAGATTAATTTTATAAGCATCTTATTATCAAATAAATTATGTGTTAGGGATGTAGGAATCAATAAAATGTTGGTTCTTGGATACTGTAAGATAATCTATATCTTGTCTAGGATATAGTTCCATGTTCTGGATTCCTGGATCATGTTTTACCCCTTTCTTTTGACTTCGGAGTCTTCTAAGAATTAGATTTGGAAATAGCTTGGACAAGATTACCTCATTAACTTGAAAATACGTCCCATTTAGGGGAAAGCTTCCTCTCATTGCACTTCTACATGGTATCTGTACACATTGCAATGCCAACATTAGTTAGGAATCTTGGAGGTAGTTGGGTTTGCTTCCAGAACATTTATGTGTAAATCTTGCTCACCAAGATGGTTCCTCGGACTGTCTCGGCATTAGCTTCTCTTACACTATTGCAAGCAAAACAGGTCTTCTCGCTGCACAATCTTCCTTGTTCTTGGGATCCGCAACTTTGTTCTGGTGAGTGAATTGAGTGAGCAGTTTCACCTATTAAATGCATGTTTATAGAAGCCCATCTAGTTAGTTTGTAGTTCAAACAATATATTTCCCAGTTCCCACTAACACTAGTCAATGTGTAGTTTGAACTCTAACTATGATGACATATCCTATTAACACAATGGTGATATATGGTGTGATCTTAACATTGTATACTATTTACAAAAGTATTTCATAAATGGCATGAGCTGCGTTGTGACTATCTCTCAGCCTTCTTTATATAGGTTGACGTTCTGAGTTTTGTTCTTACCCGGTGTCCATATAGCTAGAAGATAGGGACTAGGATCACCAGGTTCCCGTTTTTCCATCTATAAATATTGTAAATATGGAAATTAGAATAGTATGTTATGCATTGAAGTCACAAAATTTCAACATATTACGAATAACTTACCTGTTTCAAGAGAGGATGCGTATCTGGAAGCTCATATCTGCATCATTGCAGCTATGTATCAGATTGTGATGTATTATTTGTACTCTGTAGCTACTATAAATTACTGATTAATTAGCATCAAAATTCTGTGGTCTAAATGTTTTTCCCTGTACACTCGCAAATATATTTTTCAAAGCAATGTCCAAGTATAACTATAGTCCAATTTTTAGAGCAGAAAGATAGGTATCACGAGCACATTTTATCTAGAGTGTATTCTACTGGTATTGGTTGGGTTAATTTTGCCCTCTGACCATTATATTAACAGGTTTATCCGTGATCATAGGTTGGTATTTGGTACTTCAGTTATACAATGATGAGGGAAATATCCACTTACACATAATGCTCTGTTCGTAGCCTGCTCACATTCTTCAGTTTTGGAGTGGGGATAGAAGCAGCTTCAGGATTCAAAGCTACTAAAGCCTTTGACAAGTCTCCTTCTTGGAGTTCCATATTCTCCTGCATGTAATGCTGTAGGTTCGCTGTGAACTCTTCCATGTTCAGTTTTATTGTGGGAATTTCATCAGGATCCTCATAGAATGCATCTTCAATATCACTCTGTGTTACTTCTATGTGCTCTGGTTCTGGTGTTTCCGGCTCTTCAATGATAGGTTCATTGTTGCCACCATTATGCGCTACTTTAAGCAAGTTATGCACGGGTGGAGGTAATGGAATTTGATTTAAAGTTCCGTTAGGATTTCTCTCAGGCATCATTGGAGCAATTGTACTTGTTATACTTTTCTCTTCAGGCCCTGGTAGTGTGAGCCTTGCACTGCATGGAAGAAAGTTGACACAAGCTTGAAACATAGAGCTCAGGTTTTTGGAGGCCAAGGTAGGTGGCTTTAAGAGTATCTGACCTTTCTGTTAATTTAATTTTTTCATTAAATCCTCCTAAGTTGTCTTCTTTTGGTATTGAAGGTGAATGTGTTGCGTTTTATGAAGACTTGAAACAATATTCACTTATTTTTTCATCACTATTCCTTGAAAGCTTGTTGTCACCTTACTTTGTGTTTGTTTTTTGAAGTCATGGGTTCCCTGCCCGGTTTGTGTGCCAAATTTAAACCTAGGGGAAAGAAGCATCTACACTATTGGGAATCTCATAGGTTTAAGACAGGTCCTTTTTTTTCCCTTTGTTTAAGACAATCAATATTTTCCACATCAACGGGGATGCCTATGACACAATTCATGGCCATGTTAAGTATCTATGTGATTTTAGATCTCGGTAGATGTCTGTTGAAATGAATTTGTGAATACCAAATTGAATAGTAAATTTATGGTGGTTGTTTTACTTGAATGCTTTAAGACCTATATTGCCTTAAGTAACAAAGATAAATGGTGGATGTCAATAGAAGTTGAAGCTAATTGCTTGGCATGTTTCCAGGTTGATGAGTTTTTCATATATATGGGCTCATGCAGACAACAAAAGTATAAACATCAGTAAATGATTATTAATCAGTAACCGAGCAAAGAAAACTTTAAAGGCTTGGTTCTGATATTGATGCTTGTGTATGAAAATTTAGATGCATGCTGGTGAGCAGTGCCTGTTTCTAGCTGCCTGGGTTATTATGGCATTCATTATAAAGACAAGCTGGAAATAGGTTGGACACTAACCTTGCAAAAGCACTTGCAAAGTGTCTGCACTCCCCTCTCATTGGACATGCATTGCAATTTGGTTTACTCTTTGTGCAAAAAACCTACAAAACATGTTAGTGCATGAGCATAATGATGCTCTTTAAAGGCTTCACTTCAAAATATGATTTTAATTTTTGAAGCATTGATGTAAAATTTAACCTAATGAAATACCTTTCCAAATGTAATCATCTGATAATGTAGTTCATACCTGTATCAGTAGTGCATAAATCAGTAAATTTTTTATGAATAGACATTTATCTAAAGGTTTTGAGGTTACAATGTTTTCTGGTCAAGCTTGCATAATCTTGGCCACAAATATTTTTGAATTGACTCCAGTATTGGATACCTAAGAGGAACTCGTTAGCATCTGTGAGCAATGAGGCAATCAGAAAAAAAATGAGGTTGGCCCGTTAAATGCCTAATGTCTAATACTCACAATTCTAAGAGATGCAGCTGTAGTGACTCAGGCAGCGGTTGTAGAGGAACCCATCCTAACCTAACAGCTATTCGTCCAACATTTGTGTCAACCTTCAGAAATTGTAAATGTTGGAAATTGGATGAGTGGTTTTGTTGATCTTGTCAAACTAGAATTATAAGTAAATTTTGTTTGAGTCTTACTGGAAAAGCAAGATGGTGAAGGGTTAAAAGCCTAACACACTCCACACTTTTCAGCCCCAATCCTCGTATGCTTAGAAGATAATCCCTACAACATAAGCAATTTTCTGATGCCATGAACATTAACTTCAAAGATACAGGAAATCAGGGGGTTTCAATGAGACCTTCTATTCTTATATATATAAAAAAGTGGTTATTCACTCTGGATTAGTTGATGCCATGAAGAGTTTTGTTATCTATGAAGATGATAACTGTAATGTTAAAGGATTAACAGTGAACTTCGAGATGGCTTACTTTGCTTTACCAGGGGGAACATCTCTTAACCATTCCAGATCAATGCTTTCATGGTCTCTAACCAGTCGGTCCAAGAAGTCCTGCAAATTTTTTCTAGTACTTTTAAATATGCAGTAAAGCTTTCACAATGACTGCTCCTATTTAAGATCAATGCCTTAGAAATTAAATTTGTTTCACATGCCTTGATTCGTTCTGCCAGCATGTTGTTCATCCCTCTTTCTTTGATGGTGTTAGAAATCTCATCAACACTAACATTTCTCATTGCTTTGTAATCAAGGGAATCCATAGTATCGTTGCTTCTTTCTTTCTGTAAACCATTGACCTGCACATGTTTCCTTAACTGGTCCCAGTCAGTAGCATTATTTTTCTCTTCCTGAGCCTTTCTTCTTTTGGGCTTTAAGCTGATGTTATCTCCATGCTGATTGTCAGAAGAATGCACCGGCTCCTTTTCATTTGATTGAACCTCTCTGCTTTCTATAGCTTTACCATTAGCCAAATCAGTCATTCTTTCAACATCAGGTCTTTCCGTGAATTTGAGGGCATCTGCAGCAGACAATGAGGTACTTTTCTGCATCTTAGTCATTATATCAGTTGTTGGAGGCATTGTAACTGATGCACATTCTGATTGGAAGGTCTTCCTGTTTTCTTGATTATTGTTGCAAAGCTGATTACTTCTATTATGAACTCGTTGCTGCACTAAGTGCTCACCCGATAAGGTATTCAAGACTGTTGTGGCCATATTTTGATTTACTGGTTGTCGATTGTGTTGGACCATGATTTTACCTCCACTATGGTCTGATTGTTTTGGCTTGTTGAACCCAGCATTTGAAGCCCAGGAAGACATGCACTCTTCACTGAAAGGTTCAAGGCTGTCTTCTTCCCATGTTTCAGACTCCAAAGTTATGTGTAGTGGATGGCTACTTGCTCCCAACGATTTCACCTGTAGTTGGCTTCTAAAATAGCTATCTTGATTGAATGAGGAAGACCGTTTGAGATTTTCTGTTCTTTTCAATCTTGATGTCTGCCCCTCTTCTGTAACTTCTGACTGTTTATATTTTAATCCTTCATGAAACGGTGAGCTCCCATTTGCACAATGGTAAAATTCATCAAAAGAGGCATTGTTCTCTATCTGGTCAAGAGTTGAACCATGAATGTTGAGGAACTTGCATCTCATTGTAGGATCTTCTGTTTCTGAGTTGGAGCCTGAGTAGGTTCTGATTCCTCTGTTTGCTTGAATAACTGAGGAATCAAAAGAATTTTGCGATGACAGCACATCTTCCTCCAAGCTCTGACTATATGTTCCAGTGAAACTTGTTCTCTCTATAACTAAATACTCGCTGTTCCTTGGGTAGTCTGTTGACATGATAGGAGTTCTGGAGCTTTGGTTGTCATACTGATGACTAAATGGCATTTCATGCCATTTGATGGTTTCATCTGGATTCAGTTCACAGATTTCTTGTTCTTCGATTAGTATTTTTGCCTCATCTGCATTGCAGTCTGTCTTGCTTGATGACTTCAAAGGAAATTTTGCTGCAAGAGACATGAAGGCAGAGCTGCACGGTAGGAAAGAGATAAAAATGTTTAGTTATAATTTTAGTTTTCATGTTAATTTGTACTTTCAGTATGACCAAACTAACTTACCTTGAAAGGTGATCCGAAACATTTTGGGTAAGGAAGACTCCTATTACAGAATCCACCACAGATCCCTTCCATTTTGAGAAGTGCCTATCTCCTGCAAGATTTCATGACACTTTGGTCAGCATACTTGCTGCAGTCTACAAGACTCAAGTAAAGTGTTTATGCTGAATATTCAAGTAATTTTGATTGATACAATTTTTTGCATATGGGCTAGGCTCTAAAATTCCAAATTCTGTCAGAACGTTGGTTAACGGGGCAGAAAATGTTAGTCTGAAGCTGCAGAATAAATCTTTAATATTCTATTATGGCAGTTCAATTATTGGAAGTGCCTATCTTATTCGAGTGAACTGCAATTTTTATTGATAGGCTTAGTGGGTTGGGGGGGCATATTTCTTCTCTCAAATCCTTTCTCTCCTAAAAGCATATGTTAACTTTTGATATGCATTCTTCTCAATTTCATACTTATCTTGAAGATCCTAGACAAGTTCATGTCAACTATATGGACTTGCCATGAAGTAATTTTAGAAGGAAAAAAATTCTAGTAGTTTTAGAGCAGTGAATATTATGCTAGCTTGGCAATTTCGTACTAGATATGGCTGGTAATATCTTTTTATCATGTCATTTTTTTCTAATGCTGTTATATCTTGTTTATGCGGGCATATCAGTGTTTCTTATCCTCCAATTATACAAAAACATACTTACTGCCTTTTATTCTGTAATTATATGATCAGAAGGTCCAGGGTGACATGTTAGTCTAGAAAGCAGATGCAGAAGTCTTTGTACTACAGAATATTGGGGCCAAACGTTAGCAGGCTGTACCTTGTACAAGATGCATTCGGGCTATAAATGAATCAACTCTGCCATGAAAAACTCTCCTTTCTTCTTCCCATCGATTTTCCTTCTCCTTATCTGTGTCCTCAATGTCTTTTCCCTCCTTCCCCATCAACAAATTCCATACCCTATTTGTCTCTGGATCAAGGTCCACTCTAGGTCGCACTTTGCTTTTCTTGATAAATTCAAACCCCTCATATGGGAAAATTGTTCCAGGTCCGTTGTATACAACAAGTGCATTCTGCAGTTCTGCCTTAGGTTTGCTGTTCCTTTCTTTGAGAGTGAGGTCCTTGAATTTCTTTATTATCTCCTCCACCGGATTGAGAGTTGCCTGTTTTTTTGATGGTCCTGCATATTTTACCAAGAGCAGTTGATTTATGATGGTGAGTAGAACATTTTACCGAGAACAGTTGATGAAAGGGTTAAGATTTGTTAATACCACTTGCTTTTATGGATTGCTGCCGGTTCTCATACACTTCTTCCTTTTTGTGCATCATCTGTCCAGTTCTGGATGGAACTCTTCTAGGTAGACCAGGCTCTCTTTTCTTATTTTCTGAAAGATTGGTATGGGATCTTTTGCCGACCAAGCCAAATTGAGGTGCAGGGACCTTTTCAGAGGTAGTTGGTAGAAGAAGATTGTAGTTCTTGATTGTGACCAAGTTTTGGACTAGAGCTAACTCTTTTGTGTTTCCTACTTTTTCTATGCCTGAAAGCAGTTGGGAAAAAATATTTTTCTTTGAAGAGGTTAGATCTCTAGCTGTAGAGTTAACACACCTGTCTCCTGTGAATTCACTGAACGCACCACTTTTTCTGCTGTCTATGTTATCACTTTGAAAATGGGGGTTAGATTTTCCACAATCTCTCAGTGATATAAATTGTCCTGCATTAACACCATTTGTGCCTTTTGTTTGAAGTAGTCCTACAGAATGTGACGCTGGACACTTGATTCCATAAATATATGCACGGGTTTCATCCTCCATCATCCTTCTTTTAGAAGCCAGTAGAAAAGCTGCCCCATTACTGCTGCAATTTGTATAACCTTCATCCTCTTCAAACATCCCTTGGGATAGCAATGAACTCAGTGAACCTGCTCTGCTGAATTGTCGCTGCTCAATGGCATGATAGTGATCTCTCTTGAATCCCCTACCTTCATTAGAGTTGGACAAAACTGCCGCTACTGATTGAGGGCGTCTCTCGAACATGAGTTCCTTGGTCCCATGAATATTTTTCCAATTGCTTCTCCTTTGTGAAACAAATTGGATGGCTGGCTGTGTGGATGCATACCCATTTCCATAGCTTTGTTGGCTCAAATTAGCATTGTAATTGTTTACGTTTCTTGTCATGACTGTTACATTCTCCATTATCTCCTTTGCTTGAAGTTGGGAGGCTGTAGCAGCTGTACATGGCATGGACATGTAATCAATTGGCAACATTTTCTTCAAGAAAGAGGGGTGACTGTATTCAGTTTGTAGTTGCTGGTTTTCTACTGCCAATCCACTCTGTTGAGTAGTCTGTGTAGTGAGTTTTGTTCTAGACTCACTATATCCAACATCGGAAAATCCCATGGCTCGAGATTCAAAGGACTTAATTCCCTCTAGCTTTGCTTGGTGACTAAGTATATCGGTCGGACTTCCATTTCCAGTGTTTTCTAAATCAAAATCCAATACTCTTCTGCAGGATCTTTGAGCAGGCACTGAAGTAGGATCAAGCTCCTTTATACAATCTACTTGTTGAGTTGCTTGAGCACTAGGATCAGAGCCCCTTGTACAATCTCCTTGCAAAGTCTTTGATTCTTTCTGGTTGCCCTCGTGCATGTGCTTCCCTGTTGCAGTTATCCCAGCTCCTTGAGCAGATATGTGTGCCGAATCTATCAGTTCATTGGCAGATCCTTTCAGGCTTCTCTTCCATACATGCTTCCTCTTCTCCGGAGTTCCAGCAGTTGAGCCAGCTTCCTTTGTTGAATCTGCATGTTCAGTTGCAGATTCCACCAGGCCTTTGCGCACATACTTCCTCTTCTCACTTGGGTTGTTCTTGGAGTTAACATTAGCTGCAGCGTCAGACTTCGGAGTACTTTTGGGTTCTCCTTCCACAATTACCTTGGGTCTGTGTTTTCTTCGTTTAGGTGGTTTTTGCTGAGGCGTCTTATTCAGATCTATGCCTCGGGTACTTCCCCTTTCAGAGTCCTTTTTGTCCATTGGAGTGCCAACGACAGCAGATGAGGAATCGACAACATTCTGTAAGAGCTCACAGTTCTTTTGAGAAACACCATTTTCATTGTGTGCAATTAAATTTGCCTGTCTTTCCTTCTCACAATTCGAGCTTTCATGTGATGCAGAAGTTGGTGCTGTGGAGATCTGCTTGTTCTCCATCTTCTCAGTTTGATTTAGTGCTTCTAACATGGATTGAAATGAGGTGGTGAAACGAGAGTCTGCACCGACTTCTGTCCTTGGTGAGTTTAAATTGCACTCTGGCATTGAAGGTATTGGAAATCCATCTGTAAGAAAGTTACCCTTTATAAAAAAATTTGGTTGTACCAATGTAGTTGTGACGCATTTTCCGGTTTCCAGCGCATTTTAACGGGCTGCATTAGTTCATAAAGTTGCTTAATTCTAGTAGCTTCATAAATAATGAGATTCTGTAATAATGAGAGATTTCTAATTTCTCAACTAAGTTCTGAAAAGTTATCCTATGCATGATAACTGTTAACTATTAGTTACATACAAACTACTATAGTTGTAGTAAAATCAATTAGCTTGACATGTTCGTTTCTTTATCAATATATTTGTTTCTGGAAAATAAGGACATTCAAACGATATCTTAGTTGCATAATTTTCCCTTTCTAAACAGATTTAACAACTTACATTGCGGCATCTGGAGGAAGTTGTTGATATTGCTTATGAAGTCTGAACTTGAGGATTGATGTGAGCTAGAATATCTCCAGTTATCTTCTCGAGAATGCAAATTTGAGATTGACACTGTGCTCCTGCTGCCTATGCTTGCAGTTTGGTTTGCAGAGGCAAAACCATTTGTGGCATTTCCGGTTGTCAGAAGACTTTCCCGGGTATGATTGTTCCATTCCGTGTTTCCATTCTGAAGAACCTGTCCATAAGAACCTGCAATGTTATTGATCATTCTGTTATTCTTTGCCAAATTTAGACTGCCAAAATGTTGATCCTGGTCGAAACTTTGAGAAACTTCATTGTTATTTAGGATATCTTGAAAATATCCCTTAGGAAATGCAGCAAATTCCTGCCAATTTTCTTGTCCAAACTGGTTCCCATGCCCATTCATTTGGATCAGGTTTGATCCTGGAGAGATCGGCTTTTGTGGGGTTACCGGTATCCAAGAACTCATAAACTGGAATTCTTTTCCTTGTGGAATTGAAATTTCTTCACCAAAATTCATCTCAGATTCTAGTGCAAAACCCAGCAACCAGCTCTTTCTGCCAGTTCTTCCTATTTTTATAAAAAAATACCTTGCTTCAAACAAATACCAATTCCTGAAAATTTCCCACGAAGATCACCAAAATTCCAATTTTCTCAGGGAAAAATCCTACCCTTTGCTTCAACTCATCCTCCCGAATCACCAAATCTCCACCTAACATCCTCAACATAAAACACCCAGAAAAACCTGAAGAAAATTAAAAAAGAAAAGCAAACAACAATTCTCAGGTAGAAAATCAGTATAGCAAATCAACATGTGTGATATAAATATGATTTAGAAAGCCATTTCTCTCAACTAATAAAAGGAAACTATACCATTTCTGTGCTGGAAAATAAGGAAACCGTGAACAAAAAATAGAAACTAGATAAAGCAAAAAAGACATGTAATTAAATTCCTGTAAACGAAACAGTTGTATTATTCGTAGAATTAAGTGAGGATTTGTTAGCAAAAAGATATTGTAAATATCTCCAAAGATTCTTGATGGTATTAAAGGAATAACAGCCGAATTGAGTTTACACCAATGTACATGAACCGAGTTAATCAGTAAATCAATGTCGAAAAATATTGTATATGTAGCTTGTCTTACCGATTTATTGTTCTGGGTCAGCTTTGTTTTCAGATCATAGCCAATGCCAGAAAAATCAGTAGTGTCTATTGCTAAAACAAGGGGAGATGAGAAGAGAAAGAGAAAAAAGAAAATAAAAGAAAGAAAGCATAATTTATAATATATGAAAATAAGCTACTACTGTGGGCACTCACTTTAGTGTTTTAGAAAGTGAGCACTCCCAATGTATTTATTACTTAGAAGTTTGTGTCAGTGAGTTAGGAAGTTCTTTTTTTTTCTCTAAAAAATGAAATGAAAATTGAAATAAAAACTGAAAAAATGTGGCAATTTTATTGTCCTGAAGGAACTTTTAAAATTGAATATGGTAAGCGAAATAAATTAATTTCTCGTGGTTTTTGTTTTAAAGAAACATTTAAATTTGAATTATAAGTTCATTAGATAGTGAAAAGGATTTGAATTTAGGCAGAATTCTTTAAAGGCAAATCTAGTTATCTGAAACGGCAGCATGTGAAAAATTCATTGATTTTAACTCTGGGGATGTTTTCATGTCAGTGAGTTATGGTATTTGTTAATAGAGAAAATTGCCTCAGTGACCAAAAAAAAGTTATAATATACGATTTTAACCAACTTTTTTTGGATTTGCCAAAATGACCAACAAATTCGCAACGCGAAATAAAAATCGCAACGCGATCCCCAGAATCGCAAATCAGTTTCCAAAATCGCAACGCGATTCTTGAAAATCGCGATGCGATAGTACAAATTCGCATTGCGATTTTCCATAATCGCAACGCGAATATGAAAATCGCAACGCGAACACATAAATCGCAACGCGTATCCGTAAATCGCAACGTGTATCCGTAAATCGCAACGCGTATGGGTAAATCGCAATGCGTATCCGTATATCGCAACGCGTATCCGTAAATCGCAACGCGTATCCGTAAACCGCAACGTGTATCCGTAAATCGCAACGCGTATACGTAAATCGCAATGCGTATCCGTAAATCGCAACGCGTATCCGTAAATCGCAACGATAATCCGTAAATCGCAACGCGTATCCGTAAATCGCAACGATAATCCGTAAATCGCAACGAGAATCTGTAAATCGCAACGATAATCCGTAAATCGCAACGAGAATCTGTAAATCACAACACTGAAATTTTGGGTATATAACACTGAAATCATAAACTAAATCCCTAAATCGCAACTCATTCCATCTCCATCTATCACTCTCTCCGGCGACATCCGTTCCTATATCCAACGACATCCTTCCCAATCCGGCAACAGGTTTTAGTTTCGCAGCTCGTCTGTTTAGTAAATTAATTTACAACCATGAAATCATCTAATGTTGATCATGTTTGGATAGATTTGTGTTTTGGAGGGTCATGGGATAATGTTCATGGTGTTTTACAATATATGCCTTTACCCATGAATCTTCAACTAAAATTGTCTTTACAAAAGTTAACTTATGAAACTCTAATGCTACGTGTTTCAAATAAATTGAATTTAGAGCCCCTAAGTGGATTTAGGCTATCTTATCAGAGAAATGGTAAAGTTTATTTGTTAACCGACAATGAATATGTTGAACGATTCATTGCTTACATTAGTGTTTCACAAGATGATGTTACATTGTATGTTGTTGAACCTAGAAGTAGTATTGTTGGGTCAGTAGCGGGTAGTAATCAACTAAGTTTTTCTCAAAACCCACAACCTTTCTCTAATTCAAATCCCAATCAACTTTCAGCACCAAATTCCGGTTTTCGTATTGACCAGTTAGACGATGATGAGCCAACAGAAAAAATTGTGAGTACTAGTCAGTATTCGAAATTTGGTCTTGGTCAATATCCGGACTTTGATATTGGTCAATACACGGATTTTGATGATGTTTCAGAAGAAGAAACAGACCATGCGTGTAATGATATTGATATTGGTCAATACCCGAATTTTGATGATGAAACAGCCGTTGCCGAAGAATGTAATGTTGATGATAATGAGGAGGAAGTTACGACTGTGAATGAACATGTTGAACATCCATTCTGTAATTCATATAATCCTGAAGAAGAAAAAGAAGAAGAAAAAGTCCCCGAAGAAAAGAAAATGCCACGGGCGTATAACTGGAATATGCCAGAATTACTTCAGATACCGGAAGAAGAGTTGATAAAGAAAGCAGTTGATTGTTACACAAAAGTTATTCGTATCAAGAAAGATGATTGTTTTGATACAAAGGAAGACTTGAAGATAGCTTTATATACGAAATGTGTGGAAGATGGCTATCAACTAAAAGTTAACAAATCAAGCAAAGATCGTTTCGAAACAAGGTGTATGATTGACAAAAACTGTACGTGGCGTATGATTGCAAAGAGAATAAAAGATTGCAAAATGTTTCAAGTTAGGACTTTTATTGATAAACATACATGTTCAAGAACCCAAGTTTTTCCTCACCATAGACAGGCAAACAAAAAGGTGTTGGGTGGTTTTCTGGCTGAGTTAATGTTTTTGAATGGCAGGGTATATCGGGGACATGAAATTATGACTGACATGAATGCTCGGTTCAAGATTAGTATATCATATTCTCAAGCTTGGAGAGCCAAATGTTATGCCTTGGAATTGTTGAGGGGGTCGCCAGAAGCATCGTTTGCCCAACTGCCGGCTTATTGTCACAATTTAAAGCTGAAAAATCCTGGGTCGGTAACTCATATCAAAACAGATAGAGATGGACGCTTTGAGTTGCTGTTTATCGCCATTGGTGCTACGGTTAGTAAATCAATATAATTTTGTTGACTCATTTTTGTTAGTTACATGCATTTCACATTTAAATGATTATATTTCTTGTGTATATTATTTTGTAGATTCGTTCGTTTATTACTTGCATGCGCCCAGTTATTATAGTTGACGGAGCACATTTGAAAGGTCGATACCTTGGAGTAAACTTATTAGCAGTAGCCATGGATGCTAACAATGGGATATTGCCAATAGCTTACGGGGTTGGCAAATCTGAAACCTCTGATTCATGGACATGGTTTATGGGGCATCTTAGGGATTGCATAGGTCCTATTAGCAATCTGACAATCATATCCGATAGGGCAAACTCAATTGACAACGCTGTTAGAAGGTGTTTCCCAGATGCTTTTCATGGACTTTGTGGTGTTCATTTGTATAGAAATCTAAAATCAAGGTCTGCTGGTATAAAAAAGCACAAATGGACATACTGGAAGGCTGTAAAAGCTTATCGGGAAGTGGATTTCAATAAGCATATAAATTGTTTAAGACGTGTTTTGCCTCAGTGTGCTCAAACACTAGAAGATGTCGGGTTTGAAAGATGGTCAAGAGTACATCAACTTGGAGCAAGATATGGTTTCATGACGTCTAATAGTGCAGAATCAATCAACGCTCTAAGTCGTCATTCCCGGAAATTACCCATTACTATGTTAATGGAGTTTTTTCGAGCCTCTATTCAACAGTGGTACTACAAGAAAAGAAACCATGCAGGTATTATTTCTTTGAATTCGTAACTTATCATATTTATATATTTTACTAAGTATTGTTTATTTAAATTTACAGGAACATTGGAACATCGTGTTACACCATGGACTGAAAAAAAGATAACGAAACGTGTTGTGAAGTCAACGTCATGGAGAGTTGAACCATGTTCAAACACTTTGTTTCAAGTACTGGATAATAACTTAAATGGGCTAGTCGATCTAAATGCAAAGACGTGTAGTTGTATGAAATGGCAAACATCTGGTTATCCGTGTGGCCATGTTATAAAAGTTGCTCTTCATTTAAACCAAGATGATTCAAGCGCATACGCTATGGATTGCTACACTACAGAAGTTTATCGACAGACTTATGCCGAGATTGTCTACCCTATTCCACATCCTTCTGAGTGGGACATACCAGATGACTTACAAACAGTTTTGCCACCAGCCATGGACAGAAGGCTACCTGGCCGACCAAAAAGTCACGATCGTATACCGTCTAAGGGTGAAGAGAAGAAGAGATCGACATGTAGTCGGTGCAAGGAAAGTGGTCATACAAGGTTGACATGTGGATCACCAGTGCCATCAAAATAATCTTTTCCTCTACCAAAATATGGATCCTCATCAAAATCCAAAGCTCATATGGTGTCAAGCAAAAGGCAATCATCTTTAAAATCCCAATCACGATTGGCTTCACCTTTTGAGACTGTTAACTTAGGTGATTTTTAAATGCAAACGTTGTATTATGTGGATTTTATGTGTGAACTTTTAACATTTTCAGTTGAATTAATGACTCAGGCCAACCATTTTGACTTAACCAACTCTTGTTATTCAGTTGTTATCACTATTAGGCATGCATTTGACTATCGCAACACGGAAAATACAATCGCAACGTGAAATGAAAATCCCAACATGAAAATCGCAATGCGGAAATGAAAATCGCAACGAGAGAATCGCAATGCGAAATGAAAATCGCAACGAGAGAATCGCAATGCGAAATGAAAATCGCAACGACAGAATCGCAATGCGAAATTAAAATCGCAATGCGAAATGAAAATCGCAACGAAAGAATCGCAATGCGAAATGAAAATCGCAACGAAAGAATCGCAATGCGAAATGAAAATCGCAATGCGAAATGAAAATCG